CGTGGGTGCCTGGGTGCGTGGGTGCGTGGGTGCGTGGGTGTGTGTGTGTGTGTGTGTGTGTGCGTGCGTGCGTGCGTGCGTGCGTGCGTGCGAGCGAGCGTGCGTGCGTGTGCGTGCGCGTGCGTGCGTGGGTGTGTGTGTGTGTGTGTGTGTGTGTGTGTGCGTGTGTGTGTGTGCGCGTGCCTCCAAGGCGGCAGCGATCCTGGGCAGCAAAGGGCTACTTCTTGGGGGTTTAGGGTTTAGGGTTTAGGGCTTAGGGTTTAGGATGTCCGCCGGTATTAGGATTTGGGGCTTCTTCCCTCAACCCTTAGCCCTAAACTCTACGAGCCCAAAATCTGCTTGCAGAGTGCTTCGCCCTTCCGCAGTGATGTCGAACACACATGTACAAACAGGAGCTTGAACCCATACTACTGCTGCTACTCGATTTATAACCCGTAAATGCACGCATGTAATAGTTAATCAACATAGTTGTCCCCCGAATAGACAATTTTTAGGCTTTTTTGGCGACTCTTATCAGGTCACAGGCGCACACAAAACCTGGAGACTTGAAGCATGCGACGTGCTTTTCGCTCGGGTTTTGGGCATGTTGTGCTCGCAACTCCATGGCTAAGCCGACAACCAGAGAATTAGGAAAGCATGGGCTAGTGTTGAAACACCCACTAAAACCGACGTTTTCTGCACATGCAATAACATTTCGCCTAAAAATCTGAAGATGAGAACAAAACTACACATCACTCCTTTCGAATCGGGCGTTCTAGTGAACGGTCACAATGGCGGCAAACAAGCACATAAAACCATGGAGTTTACGATGTTTTACGACATGCACACAAGGGTCAGCTTTGTGCGTTGTTACTGATGCTTTTCTGTTATGTTGCTTCTGCTGGCAGTTGTTAGTGGTTCGAGCGTCATGACGACACACCTTTCGCATAAGCCTTGTGACAGTGCATCTTGTTACATAAACGTCAAACATCCTGGTGCAGCATGTTGTGTAGAGGAGCAACAACGCTGCAAATACCGGTGTTTTGGGCATGAATAGAGTAACATGGTCGTAGCCAACACCCCTGCACCCCCCCACCCCCCCAAAAAGAAAAAAAACAATAAAAAGAAAACTCTCCAAAAGTCCACGAAACAACCAGGTTTTTTACGCGCCTGTTTCCTCTTATCACATGGTCAAACCCTGCAAAAGGACCTTTTTACAACAACCCATAGACAGTACACACAACCCAAGAAGGCCATTCTATTTTCAAGTTTTCTGCCGCAGGGACCAGGAAACTCCACAAAGTCTGCATCCAAACATGCATGCACCAGCCTAGGTCCCCCGCACGGTGCCCTCACCCCCAAAAAGCGCTCAGGATGCCCAAAAGCATATACTCTCGGCCCTAATCCAGGGATACTTGGGGATGAGAGGGAGGGTTCACGGCTGTATTGACACTAAACCCTAACACCCTAATGCCCCAAACCGTGTCTTTAGACCAAACATGTTGGGGACCAGGGCTTGCGACTTGTCTCTTTGGAGGACAAGTTAAACCCAAAATGGGACCAGGGCTTGTGATGCGGCTTGCGATGTGTCTCTGTCAGAACTCAGACCAACAATCTCTTCGGGATTTATCTCTTTAGAGGAGAATTTAAAGCCAGCATCTTAGGGACCAGGGCTTGCGATTTGTCTCTTTCGAGGAAACTTAAACCCAAAGTCTTAGTGACCATGGCTTGCGATTTCAAGTCTGACTACTCCTGAACCATATTCAGTTACGGAAGGAACCCTTCCGAACCCTGTTCGATTATCATTCGGAAGGAGCCCTTCCGAACTGTGTTGGGTTGTCATCCGCCGGGAGCCCTTCCGAAACAAACAAACTGCATACAAAGCAGAACAATTTTGTGCTGCAAATGGGTACAAAACGGGCAACATTGCTCCTGAGCAGGGCGCTTGCAGCTGCCACTCTGCTAGCTCAAGAGCTATTTGGCTGCAATTGTGCAAGCTGTGCCTCATCCTCGTGACTGCCGTCATTTTTAAGGCAACCATGCCTCAAAAACACCTCAGATGACCAACAATGTGCCCCCAAGAAAAGGCGCCCAAACTCAGGGTTTGTCAACACTTTTCAACACTATTGAAACATCACATAACCAACAAGCGTCAACACACAGGCAATTCAACACTTTACACTGTAGAGACATCACATAACCAAGGTGGTGCCAAAACACCGTGATTTTCAACACTTGCATGATTCGGAAAGAGCCCTTCCGAACCTTACTTGGTTATCATTCGGAAGGAGCCCTTGCGACAGAGCTGTCTGAACCATGCCTCAAAAACACCTCAACTACACAAAACAGTGCCAAAGCGCAAGGTTTTTTCAACACTTTTGAGACAACACATAACCAAAAAAGTTCCGACAAGCAGGGCTTTCAATGTTTTTCAACACTTTTGAAACATACATAATAACCAAAACCGTGCCCAAAACCCAGGTTTTTCAACATTTTTGCGACATCAGATAACCAAGGTGGTGCCAACAAGCGCAGGTCTTCAGGGCTTTTCAACACTTAACAGAAAACCTATTCAAAAACGTGCCAAACGCAATGTTTTTCGGACACTTTTGAGACATCACATAACCAAAATGGTGCCCAAAGCGCAGGTTTTTGTAACACTTATATAACGTGCACATCGGACTTGAGGAAGAGTATGCATGCAAGTGTATGTGTGTGTATATATATATATATTTATCTACATACATATATCTACACACATATAATCATATATTCACAGGTGAATATCTACACATGTCCAATGTCAGGATTCATTGTTTTGCTTGTGTCGAAACTGAGCGAGAGAAAGAATGCGAGCGAGCGAGCGAGCGAGAGAGAGAAAGAGAGAGAGACGCACAAGCATGCATGCAGACATGCGGAAACTCATGAACTCCTGTTACCTTCAATGAAGGTCTAACAGGCATCAAGTGCTTCAGATAGTCATCTGTGTGGACAGGTTCAACAGACACGCTGCCAGGATAGGGTGGGACAGGACCTGCAGCCTGCATTAACGTCTGTCGGTGGGGTGCGGCTTCGCTTCCTCTACTACGCATGAAGTGTTGGCAATACTCGGGCAACATCAGAAGCAGGCGCAAGGCATTGGCCAGGACTGAAAGGGAAAGGCATGACTGAAAGAAGCGATGGCAAGGCCCATGGTAGGACTGACGCAGGCGCGACGCGAAGATCCTTGACTGGCCTGGTGATTTCAGAGTGTTGGTGATGTGAACCTCGCGTTTATGGCGTGCGATTCAGCGAATTGTAATGACTGCAACTGTCACTGCGACAAGATGTGCTCCAAACAACCTCAGCCCTGCGCCGCTTTACAGGCCTGAAACCTTCCTTGCGCACAGGCCTTTTATACTGCCCGGCCCGTACCCCAATTGCCAAGTTAGTCGCGCCACCTCCTAACCCGAAGATCCTCGGATAGCCAGAAAGAAAGCTGAGCCAAAGACTCGGGTTTTGGGGCATATTCCACTGTGCAATGCTGTATGATATAAGGAACCAGAAGGAAGTAGCACGACGTCGCACTTCTTCAAGCTTCTGTATGTAGGATTTGCCAATGAGAGCAACAATGACACCGTAAATCCTGAAGCCTACAGGTTTAGGGTTTAGGGTTTAGGGTTTAGGGTTTAGGGTTTAGGGTTTAGGGTTTAGGGTTTACAGTAAGCTCAGTGCACCCTAAGGCCTCTGCAAACGGCTCAGGCCGGAGCCGAACTTCCACCCACTTGTGGTGGCCAAGCGGTGGGGATCTGAGTCATGTGGTTTAGGGTTTAGGGTTTCGGGTTTAGGGTTTTGGGTTTCGGGTGAGCTTGAGGGTTTCGGGGGTTGAGATGCAGGGGTTCAGGGCGGTTTGGGCCGTTCATTCGCGCTTGCACAGTGCGGGGCCTCAGGAGCGGATTCGTTCTGTGGTGTAGCCTAGGTGCAAAAGACTTTTACTGAAGCCATGGGCAGCATGGCTTCACGAGAAAGATGCGCACTGCAGCTGGAGATTCGCCTCTCGGATAGGTGCATGCGGAATGATTCTTCCTACGGTGGCGAATCCTGGAAGAAAAAGTGCTACTCCTTCCTTGGCAAGTGCGCCGTTGCGTGGCAGCTGGAGGGTGTTCCGGAGTGGGTTCACAGCTTGTGACACAACATGCAAGGGAGCTCTTTTTTGGCTCGAGGCTCTGTAACAGGTCGACGTTTTGAAATCCGATCTTAGTCAAGAGGAACCGGCGATGGCTCTCAGGCGGGAGAACCCCCATCTTCCCGGCCGGATATCTTTGGCTCATCGCCAAGCGGGAGCTCAAAGCAAAAGGAGGTGTGAATTTCCAGACTCACTGCAGATGAGGAAGGGCTTCGACTCTCACACTCGCACACGGCAGGCATCGGTAGGTCAAGGAACGGCTTAGATGTACCAGGTTAGGGCTCAGCCCAGTTTTTTTTAGTGCAGTGAGTCTGGAAAGCAGCTCAAAGGCGACGCTGCTAAGGACCGAGTCCCTGCCATTCGTCGCTGACCCTACCGGGACAAGCCAGCCTGCTGTAGCCCCCCGTGAATGCTACATCCGTGGAGAGAGCACAATATTTCATATTAGAGTTTAGGGTTTAGGTTTTAGCGCCAGCTATGGATTGTAGCTCAAAGTGTACAGGGCACACGAGATAGAACGTTCTCTTGGACCTCAACGCGCTGCTGTCTCGCAGTTGAGCGGTACAGCTGTCGGGCAGTCATAAAACCAGAGACTCCAAAAGGTAAAATCAAGATAAGAAACTCTATCAACTGCTCATGATACTGGTTTAGGGTTTAGGATTTAGGGTTTAGGGTTTAGGTAGAATGAGTCTTCTGGATCTGCCGGAAAATCTCTGCAGGCGGCAGGTGCATGCCGGAGCTCGCCCTGTACACCCTAGGACGTCTGCCTAGGTGAAGCCGGGGCTCCCCAGACCCTAAACCCTAACCCTAAACCCTAAACCCTAAACCCTAAACCCTAAACCCTAAACCCTAAACCCTAAATCCCTCGGACGGGACTTCGGGCGCCCTCGCTGTCAAGATCGCTGCTGGGATTCCTCCAGGCAGGGAGCGCCCGCGCTGGGCTGCCGGACCCAGGCTTGTTGAAGCAGCCTGGAGGTTCAGGGTACTTATGAGGGTTTAGGGTTTAGGGTTTGGGGTTTAGGGTTAAGGGTTTAGGGTTTAGGGCTACTTGGAGGTTCAGGGTACTTATAACCCCAATGATAAGTGTACTTACAACCCCAATAATCAGTGTACTTATCATCCCAATAATCAGTGTACTTAGAAGCCCCCTAAGTCCCCTAAGTAGGTTCCAAGTACCAAGAGGCCTGTGGCCATGCGGCTCCTCCGCCGGGGCTTTGTAGGAGGTTTGGCAGGGGAGTCCTGCCCCTTCCGCAACTCGTCTTTCTCACTGACCCTTCGGCGCTTCTCGAAGAGGTTGTCGCCCACGACCTGGTGTAGGGCTTGTAAGGATGGCCGGGACGGACGAACTTTTGCTTGTGCCTGAAGCCAGCTTTGCTCCGTAAGCATCAGGAGAGTCGACTTCTCCTGCAGGGCCTTCTCAATGGCAGCCCTCGATCCCTTCAAGGCTGCCTCTGTGGCCTTCAGGACGTAGGCCTCCAGGTTGTCCATTGCAGCCTCGATCGCATCCTCCCCCAAAGCTTGTAGGTCGGTAGGTGAAGTCGTATGCGGCTGCTCCGCGACGCTTTCGTCTGCCTCCGGTACTTGCAGGATCGGCGTCGAGGGGAGCTTCTCGAGCTCCATGGTCTCTTCGGCCTTGCAAAGCGCTCCGCGGTCACCCGCTCTCTCCAGTCTCTCGAGCTCCAGGGTCTCCTTAGGTAGCCCTTTGTAACCATCCTTTAATATAAGGGCACCCTTCTTTGGGGGTTTTGGCTGTTCTTTATGGGAAACCAGAACCCCCCCCAAAAAAAAAGAAGGGTAAAAGGTTAACCCCCCCCTGGGCTACCAAGTCTCTTCAGCTTCGAAGAGGACTCTAGTTCATTGTTGGGATAATATTAAAAACTTAAACTTTTTATTCCTTATTGGATTTAAGTACCCTTAAAAATGTAAAAATGTTACCCAACTGTGACAAAGTTACTCCGGGATCTGCCAGGCACGGAACCTCCAGGGCTTCGCCCGGAGACTTCTCGAGAAGCATCGACATGATGGCTTCCATTCGGTTGTCCTTCTTTACTCCCCTTTTTTAAAGAGCGTTGATTGTTAAGAAAAGTATTTTTTCAAGATCCTCTTTTGGGTTTTATGTGAACAAAAATACAAACAAATAAATTCCCAAGAAGGAGGATAGAGCGTCGAGGAGTTGAAAGCAGCGTCGGGAGAGCCCGTAGAGCTCCTCCTGCTGCCCCAAGGATCGGAGCACGTTGTACTTGATAAAGCGCGGGGCCGTCTTCGAGTCGCTCACCCACCTCGTTTTAGGGGTTCCCCTACAACCCCCTCTCTTTTTCCTACCCGCCCCCCCCCCCCCCCCCTAGGTCCCCCCCCCCCCCCCGGCCTCAATTTTTTAAGGCTTTTTTAGAAAAACAAGCCCATGTGACACCTCGTTAAGGGGGTGATGAACTCCGCGGCGTCGATCTCGCCCTCGCCCTTCACGTCGATCATCTCAAAGAGCTGCTCCAAGTCGGCCTCGTCGATGTCCATCCTGCACCCCATGTTTCTATCGGGGCACTCTTTTGAAAATGACCATTGTGTGTTTCTTTTTTTGGGCCACTATGAACAACAATATCAGGTTTCTTCCTATTATTGGGTTTAAAAAGTACGCATAAAGAATGTAAAAAAATGATTTTTCAACAATGGCCCAAGCATCACCCGCAGCCGGCTCTGGAATTCCGGGTCTCGCCGGGCTCCCTCCAAGAGCTCTTCGAAGGTCATCTTACCACTGCCATCTGTGTCGATGCGCTCGAAGATTCGCTCCAGCCGCTCGCGATCGATGTTCTCGTTGTTGTTCATCTCCTCCGCCAAATTGAAGACATCGCGCTGACGAGCTTCCGCGAAGGTATCAACCACCACTGCGACGATCAGGTTCATGACGCCGAAAACCAGCGTCAGGTTGGACCCCATGAATATGACAGCAGTAAGTGGATATGCTTCGATCATTGGCACAGAAACTTTTCCCCAACCGTCGCCAGCAATCACCGTCTTGAACAAAAGCACATTTGCACGCATGACCGAAGATGTGGATCTCTGACACTCCAAGCAATCCTCGAAAACCTCCTCCATCAAGGGGTGGACTAGCTCCACGATCAGGAGCGCCCAAACGGTCATCATGACAAAGCAGAATATGAAAGACCAAAACAGTGTTTTCAAACAGGTTGACAGCATGCGGATCAGCTTCTGTAGCTCGCGGAAGCCTCCCGTGCGTCTCAGGACTTTCCCAACACGCAGGATCCGCACCAAGCGCAGCATTCTGAACACGGCAACGGAGCTGAGAAGGTCGCCATAGCCCAAGTACTGCATGAGCGTTTCCACATACCCACACAGGAGAACAAAGACGTCCGTCAACATCATAGGTTCCAGAAGTATTCGTAGTCCTCTCGCTATGAGCACTAGCACCGTGTCGATGGAATACAGACAAAGACACAAGTCTGCTATGATTTGAATCACATCAGCAGTGCTTTCTCCAGTGGCTCGGGTGTCAACATCGATGCATGTACACAGGAAGTCCACCAGTACAATCACAGCGAACAGGTTTGCCATACATTTGTTGCGGGTGTACATCACCGCGCATCGGGTCAAAAGCGTGCACCTCCTGTAAGGCGTGCCACTGTTTTGAAAGAAACTCGCAGAATGTGCCGTCACAAACCTGCTGGACAAGCGAACGTTCCTCCTGGACTCAGACAAGGACTCAGACAATGTGGACTTGATGCCCTCCACTTTCGCGTCTGAGGCACTGCTCGTAGTGGAGGTCGCACTTACGTTGTTGCTTTCTGCAGCTTCTCTTGTTTGTAGGGAGGCCATGGCTAGCGCGGCGCCGCAGAAAACCGACAGTAGTGACTTGAGCAGGTGACTTGCTCGTGGTCAATGCCTACAAACATGCTCGTCGCAACTCTCGTTGGGTCCTTACCCACTCACCCGCGCTCAACGCAAAGCAAGTTTGCACATGCCGTGACAACCGCTCAGCCGCAAAAGGAAGCCAAGCCTCAGCAATAACGGGGCTAGATGGGGCTAGCCATGGCTCGCACATGCTTGGACTTGTGGCGTATGGAACTTTCGCTGCTTTGACGTGTCGAAACGTTGTGCAGAGACGGGTTTGCTTGGGAAGCTTCTGCCAAGCAGCGCGAGGCTTGCGAACTGTGGGATGCACGGCGCAGTAAAGGGATATGGCACGCCTCCAGGAGCATGGACATCAAAGCCATCTAGGATTCCACGCCTAAGAAAAGGCTTCAACGTTGAAACCCGAACATGCGTCTCATGTTTCACAGGCTCGGATCAAGGCATGAAAGATTGAAGCTCAACATGAATGAAATCACAGCGGTGTGCCGAAATACGTGCCACAAGCCGTCCCCAAACGGCCCCGGCAACCACAGTTCTGACCCCTGGGAGGATCCAAAAAGTGTAAAACCCCCAAAACAGTGAGTTCCCCATAGTACTCTTGGGAAAACCCTTTACTGGGATCTACTGTTTGGATCCTCCTGGGATTCTGGGGCCTGCCTAGACCCCAAACAGTGCAAGACTAAACCCTAAACCCTAGACCCTAAACCCTAAAGCCTAAACCCTAAAGCCTAAACCCTAAACCCACTTCGCTTCGTGTGTCTGTGAAGGACTTGGAGCTCGTGTGTGTGTTGCAAACCGCATCGCCCCACTCTCACCCGGGTCCCGCGTGCTCCGGGTGAGACAGGGTTTAGGGTTTAGGGTTTAGGGTTTAGGGCTGCTGTTCTCTTGCCACCTCATGTCTACACTTGGATCTTCCAGCTTGTTGCAGGCCTCTGGCATGCGCATTTTTCTCACAGGCTACGGCGAGCTGCGACGCCAGCTCCGTCCACAGCGAGGAGTCATGAGCATAACCAGGTTTAGGAGCATAACCAGGTTTAGGGTTTAGGGTTTAGGGTTTAGGGTTTAGGGTTTCTTGGGCATGCCAGCAAGCTACTTGACAAGTCCCCCTTCGCCCCCCCAAAGAAGCTGCGAGGTTGTCCCAAATGCCAATGGACCCCTTAGACCCCTGAACTCCGCGTGCTCTGCCCCGAAAAGACCCATTGCCAGCGCCTGCGCTGGCAAATTCTCCGCTGATGCAAATGTCTCAGCGCTGGGTTAGGGTTCGGGGTTTTCGGTTTGGGGTGATAGCTGCAAGGTTTCAATGGGATTCTGTACCCAGGATTCTGTACCATGTCCATGCAGAGGCCCAGCACTGAGCTTCTGATTTGGGACCTGCTCTGGCAAGCCCACTGAAGCAGTGGGGGAGTTTGCTCAGGCTGCTTGGCAGGCAATCTTCAAGTTCATCGCCCACGCGGCGTGGTGGTCGGTGCGCCTCGCACAGACTTGCCTGCCGTTGGTGGTGATCTCCCAGGTATCCGCCGCAGTCGCCCAGTCGGAGTTCTGACGGTAGCCCAGGTTCGCCGCGTAGGAGGCGCATTGCACGTTCTGGCTCGCCTGAACACACCTGGTACCGACGGTGCTGGCACCAATGGTGACCTTGACGACGTCTCGAGAATGGCCGTAGTCCTTGCAGTGGATCTTCAAGTCCATACCCCAGGCTGCCAGGGTCACATCAACTTTCACTACAGACAAGCTGCCAACTTCCTAGAAAGGATCAATTTCCTCTGGGCACGCTTGCGGCACGAAACCCTATAAAGCTTAAAGCCATCCGCGCCCCGCCTTCATGTTTATCGATGCGCCGGGCACAGACCCAGCCTCCGTCCACGCTCACCTTACTGGTTCTTAGTGGGGACTGGGGGAATGGACTGTAGTAGGGACTACTTTATAGGGGATTATCTAGGGCCTACTGTAGGGATCCATTGCCCAAGCCCTATAAACCCTAAACCCTACTAAGAACCAGCAAAAGTCACGAAGAACCTGTCCCCGCAGCCACGGCAGTCGTCGTTCACTCGGTTGCTCTCATCTCCGGCGGTCGCGTCGCACTCCATGTTCTGGGAGACGTAGGTGCACCTCCAGGGTTTAGGATTATCTTAATTTGTCACCCGCCTGGCTGACTGTAACATCGCACTGCAGGGAACACACACGTTGACAGTTTCTCTAGGTTTCGGGTTTGGGGTTTAGGGGAGCACCACAAACACCCCAAGAAGAGGACCCCTCATTTCGAATAGCAGCTCCGGGCACCCACAAGAGTTGGGGGTGAAAGGGAATCGGACAAGGGATGAGAAACAGGGGCGAAAGCGGCATCTTCATCTGTGTTGAGCCCTGCACCCCCCTCAACTCAACAGTCCCTAAACCCTAAAGCTGTAAACCCAAAACCCCCTAAGTCCCCTCAGCCTGAAACCCCCAATTTCAAAACCCCCTAAATCCTCGAAACCCCTAAAACCCCCCCCCCCCCCCCCCCAAACCCTAAGCCCTAAGCCCTAAACCCTAAACCCTGAACCCTGAACCCGCCCCTCATCCGGCTTCAGGTGTGTGGAGCTAGGGCCGATGGTGACGGTGGTCGTGCGGTAGTTCACGGCCGCGCCCGTGGGGGTACATTCCAGCTGCAGGTTCAGCCCCCAGCCTGACACAAGGGTTAGGGTTTGGGGTTTAGGGTTTGGGGTTTAGGGTTTGGGGTTTAGAATCAGGCTTCAGGAGCTTTGGGGTGTACAGGTCTGGGCCTTGGGGGGGTTTGCGGTCAAGGGCTTTGTCGGGCTGAGGGGAGTAGCTCTGCTTTGTGCCAGATCCGGGTAGGAGGAGGTCCTGCCGCAGGGGATTGGGAAGGGCAGATTGCCACCATACAGACATACATATATATATATATATATATCAACCCTTCTTCAGGCTTTCCAGAAGCCTTCACACCCCTGTGCGGAAATACGAAAGCCCTGCTGCCAAGAGACCCCCACAGCCTTGAACCCTAGACCCAACCCTGAATACCAAGAGCGGCTTGACACATTTCTGGCGCAGCCTATCCTCCCCAGATACCCTGAAGCCTCTCGCCCGCATCTGAAGCCGCAGCTCTCTTCTAAAACACCCAGCAGATCCCCGCCCGTCGTGGGCTCACGCCTCCCCCCCCCCCCGCCTTCGTACTTATCATATCGCCGGGCACAGATCCTGGCAGTATCCAAAAAAAGCTCGAAAGCCGGGGGTTAAGGGCTTCGGCGTGAGTCTTAGGCGCTTTGGGCTTCTGGGTGTTTTTCTCGTGGTGTCGTCTAGAAGGCTCAGGGTTTGGGTTTAGGTTTTGTTGCTTTCAGGGTTTAGGGCAACTGTGAAAAAAAGGAAGGGTCAGAAGCACGGGCTTGACCCCGAGCCCTCTAACCCTGATGTAAGCCCTAAACCCTAAACCCTAAACCCTAAACCCTAAACCCTAAACCCTAAACCCTAAACCCTAAACCCTAAACCCTAAACCCTAAACCCTAAACCCCACATACCCCACCGGTCGCCAGAACTGTAGACGTGGAAGTCGTCCGGGTTGTTATCGAAGCCAAGGCGTTGGTGCTTGTCCCCGGCACCGTTGATGCAAGTTACCTGACGAGGGGATGTCTCGAGGAAAGAGACTGAGGCTCCCCTGGGTCCCCTTAAGGGTTTAGGGTTTAGGGTTTAGGGTTTAGGGTTTAGGGTTTAGGGTTTAGGGCAACAGCAAAAATCACCCTGTGCGCAGTGCGGGTCTTGCTGCTGGCTCGCTTGGCAGCACGCACTTTGTCCTGACAGTGCTCGAGCCAATCGGAACCAGAATGCCGAGATTGGAGTTGTCCACTTCGCAGGCAATCTCCAGATTCATGGCCCAACCAAGCTCGGCGTCCACTCGCATTAGGCACAAGGATCGCGAAGTGATCGGATGAAGCGTGGTCGGGCGCCAGATGTGGAAGTCATCACCAGCCCAGGACCAGTCATCGTTGGCGCGGTAGCCCTTGTCGGCAGCATGATGCTCGCAGTTGACGCCGGAGAAGGCCCTGGCAGAGGGCACAGGGACTTAGCGGCCTAGACCCTCTACATGAACCCCGGGACCCCTTTGAAACCCCTCAAGCCCCGCTGCCTGAAAGTGAGGTCCCCTTTTTGCAACTGGGCTTGAGGACTAGCCAGATTCAAGCGAGGTCCCCTAAACCCTAAACCCTAAACCCTAAACTAAGCCCCAAACCCTAAACCCTAAAGCCTGAACCCTAAACAACCCTAAACAAAGGGGCCTGCCACAGACCTTGTACACGGAGGACGGGCCGATGTGGACGATGGTCACACCGGCTTTGTTCATGGCCAACTCTCGGGAGTTGTCGTTCCTTAGAAGGCCCCCCTTTTTGAACCCCTTTTTGAAGCACCAAAAACCCTATGAATCCTATAAACCCTACAAACTCCAACAGATAAACCCTACAAACTCCAACGCCTAAACTCTAAACTTTCAACCCTAAACCCTAATCAGAACCCCCCCCCCCCCCCCCCCCCCTCCCCGAAGATGTGACTTTAGATGAGAGCGGATCCTCGTCTTGAACAGGCCGGGCGTTCATCTTTGGCAAGCCCAAAGATGGGGGGGGCCCGGGGGGGATGTCCGAAACAAGGGGTACCTTATTGGAGTTCCTATTACAAGGGAACCCTACTCGTAAACGCCCATGTATGATAAGAGCCCCCTCTTTAAATTAAGCTAGATTGCACAAACTGGGGTCAGGAGGGCACGTCTGAGATCCCTAAAACCCCAAACGCTAAACCCCAAAGCCTAAACCTGTAAACCCTAAACCCTAACCCCGTAAACCCTGAACTTTAAACCCTCAACCCTGGACCCTAACCCCGTAAACCCTGAACTTTAAACCCTAAACCCTGGACCCTAAACCCCCCTAAGCCCGAAACCCTGAACCAGAAACCACAAGGCAACCTAGTCTCTCCTTGAAGCCGAACGAGAAGATCCGCAACCACTTCCCAACCTTGCCGATGAAGGGGGGGGCGTGTCTTGGCTTTAAGGTTGCGGGTTCAATATTTAGGGCCTTTTAGGGTCAAGGTTTAGGCTTAGGATTGGGGATTTAGGGCGACTTACTAGAATACAGAAGTTTTGGGCGGTTTTGAGGGTTCAGGAAAACCCTTTTGACCTTAAACCCCAAAACCCCAAACCCTAAACAACCCTAAACCCTTTCGACCCCAAAACCCCTTTACTACTACTTGCTTAAGAACACCCCAAAAAAGCAGAAGATTCTTCCTTGTAAGGGGCATGTAGGGATCAGTATCCTCTAATTTTGTGGGGGTTCTTAAGCAAATGGTACTTTGGCTCCTCCCCCCCATCCCCTCCCCGGCCTCGCCGACGAAGGGGATCCGGACTCCCAGGAGCGCCTCCACGCCGAACTCGACGCTGGTGACGCCGCGGGCGTTGTACATGTCCTTGAAGCAGCGGTAGCTGGCCGAAGCACCTGGCGTCTAGGAACTTATGAAAAATAATAAGACCATATAGTATGATTAAAAAAAATAAAGCCTTTAAAAATGGGTTCCCTCAGCCACACTTGGGGTTCTCAGGCTGTTCAGATTTCTGTGTCAGTGTGTTTCGGTGTTTGGGGGCTCTTCGCGTTCAGGGTCTGTGGTGTAGGATGGCTCCAAGTCCCCACCTTTGGACTCGCAGTGGTTGACGACCGCAGCGGTCAAGTCGCCGAGGTTCAAGTTGGCCTCGATGGTTCCTCTCACCCCGATAGGGGCGGGCAGCGGAACTGGCAAGCTCGGGATCAGGAGGTGGAGCTTGTTGATGAAAGGATGCCAGCTAATCCTGCCCATTGGCGGGCAACGAAGGGGTTCAGGGCTTAAGGCGTAGGCTGCCCTGCACGAATGCACCTCACATGCGCTGCTAAGTCTTGACCGCCTACTTACGACTCTAGCTAGCAGCTGGAGGTGCTCCATTGCGACCAACTTTTCCGAAGTGACGAACACCTCACCCCGCAATGAGCATGTTGTGAACTTTCAAGATGCACTAGTACGATCGCCAGGAAACTAACCTGATCACATGTGCGACGCGAAAACGCTGTTGCTTTCCGATTGTGGGCACCGGCTTTCTCCCCATCCGCGCCTTCCCAAGCTTTGGCACAAACCCCATCCAAGTGTGTCTGCCACCTCGCCCATGATTCCACCAATGCACAGCTTCAGCTCAGCAAATATGTTAAACGTGGCAAACATCCTCAGCTGGGCGACGCCCTGTGCTCACTCGAGGCTTCCCAACAACTTCTGTAAGGTGTCTTGTGCAGCGCAAGGACAGTGTCAATGACTCACACAGATAATGCAATGCTCGCACCAGCTCAACTGCCATATAGCCCAACACCCCGCAGGTCTTGCGGTTTGCCCACTATGAGGGGGCATCCCACTTTTAGGGTTCAGCACGTACAACCTAGTCTTTCTGTGCCCGTGGCCATGACGAAGAACCTTCAACAAGCAGCAACAGCAGCAGCAATCTTCACGGCGAAGTCGCCCCCCCTAAACCTCGAGCCCAACCTGCAAGCAAGAATGAGTGCCCAAAGCCCGCGCTCAAGGCTGCAGAGCAGCTCAGACGTGGAGGAGCAGGATGCCACGTCGACGCCGATGTCCATCTTGAATTGCAGGGCATCACCTGTGAGTTCCAGTGATTAGACCACCTTCAAGGGATACTGTGGTAGTTGTAAGGAGCACAGAAACATGTCGCTGAGTTTGAGGCTCGCCCCGTTCGTGCGTGTGGTAGTAATGCAGGCATGTTCTAGAGCTGCCCATCATCCTTCCCAAAAAGCTGTCACGTGCACAGGGACGGTCACCGATGGAATGGGAAAGTACCCCTGAACCCCGATGCCTGATACAGGCTTTACTGTAGTGGCTCAGAACTCCTAAGACCGAAGTCCGAAACCCTAAACCCTAAACCCTAAACCCTAAACCCTAAACCCCTGCACCCTGAACCCCGAGACCCTAAACCCGCTTTAACCCCCGGGTGATGGCCTGGCTTGATGCCGAGGCATGGAGTGCAGGCGCCCGTGATGCAGGAGCTGGAGATGCCAAAGAGGGGCTTCAGTGCCGAGAAGACGTCGATGGTCGTGCCTCTGTGGGTGTTTAGGGTTTAGGGTTTAGGGTTTAGGGTTTAGGGTTTAGGGTTTAGGGTTTAGGGTTACGAAAATAGGGGACCCCGAAATAAGGACCCCAAATAGTAGGATTCCCATATGATAAGGACCCCAAGAAGGTACCCATAATATCGTGAACCCCCATGTGAGGTCTTGGGGCTTAAGGGGCTCCTGCGCATGTTTTGATTCCCACCCCGTCCAGCCATGCTCCACGCGCACTTTAAGGCTAAGGGTTTAGGAGGGTGCACACGAGGGTGTGGAGTTTAGGGTGTATAGGGTGGAGGGCTTCGGGTTTAGGGCATTTACGCATCGGGGGCTTGCCACCTCCCGACGTGTCGATGCAGTTGTTCCCGTTGATGCACAGGGAGCAGGATACCTGTTGAGGACTAAGGTTTTTTTTTAGGGTTTAGGCTCTGATCATCTAGGAGCTTAGGGTGAACAGTCCCGTTGCGCGGGTCAAAATTTGCGGCTCCCCGTTTTTTGCTCTTGATCGGTGAGCAAATCAACACCTTGACTCCCAAGCAAGGCCTTGCTAACCCTGCACCCTAGTATGACCGTAGTATTGGGAATAGAATTGGGAATAGTATTGGTAATAGTATTCTTAAAAGTATTGGAAATAGCGTTGGGGATAGGAACAAAACATCGTAATGAAAAAGATAATTCCTGAGGATGAAAAGATGGGCTTTGGAGCTTACGACTTAGACTAGAACCTACTTGTACTTGGGGGTGCGGGGGGCGGGGGGAGGGAGGGGGGGGAGACTCCGTATCCCACATTAAAACCGGAATGGGTGGGCAGGGTACTACTTAACATGATGATGAGGTCTTTATCCGAAACCCAACACCGACAATCCGAACCCTGGACGGGCTCCAGACCCTGAACCCTGCACCCTAAAGGCACTACTTGGAGGTTCATGGTACTCACTAACCATTTATGACTGTACTTATAACCCAAATTATAAGCCCCTTAAGTGCCCGAATATGGTTGTAATTTGGGTCATAAGTACAGTTGCAACCATGAACCTTCAAGTACCCTTTGAACATCAAACCGCCCTTCCCAGGGTACCGCCGCCGGCTTGCCCTCGGCATCCTGACAGGGCCCAAGGCCCACAGGCCACCCAGAGTCCTGGAGAGAAAGAAGGGCTTTTGAAGGGTTCCAAAATTTACGGCTTAGGTGTCATTGGGCCCCCTCCACGACGCACTCGTGCAGTCCTCGGAAACTTCTTGTTGAAGGCTCAAGGTCTTCTTTTGTTGGCACTTGGGCCTCCTTTTGGGGGGGGGTTCCTTGCATGCCTTCAGCTGACGGGCTTTCCCCACTCATTAAACCCTAAACCCTAAACCCTAAACCCCAAACCCTAAACCCTAAACCCTAAACCCTAAACCCCAAACCCCAAATCCTAAACCATCCACCGGTCCAGCTGCAGCATGGAGTTGGCCCTCTTGCCCGCTTCCTGGCATGAGGTTTCACCATGCTCTACCTAGGGCTTTAGGCTTTTGGGTTTAGGGTTTAGGGCTTGGGGTTTAGGGTTTGGGGTTTAGGGTTCTAGGGCTTGGGGTTGGGATGTTCCCCCTTATACCAACAGTCCTTACTAGGGATTCTTTCATAGGGGGTACTATCATCTTTATTCAGGACTGTTAGTCTCAAGTTACTACACCTCAACCTACACTCTAGACACAATCACTGTAAACGACCAGCTCCTGTGCGCTAAGGTTTCTTTTGTGTACAGAGGAGCCCTGTCCAAGCTGACCTTCACCTCAACGGGAATCGCAAGATATCCATGTGGCACCAGGTAACAGGAAGGCAGCGGGATGCGGGCTGCGGGAGCGCTTAGGGTCCTTTTGTAGGGTCTCGAACTTTTTGGAAACTCCCACTGGTGCATCCACACCCCCCCCCCCCCCCTCCTCTGTGAATATAAACCTCCCCTGGTAACTCTCTAGAAACCTCCCCTATCAACCCACCTAAATATAAATTCACCTTCGACCACCCTCTAAGCCTCCCCTAGAACTCTCCCCATAAACCCTCAGAAAGGCCTCCCCAAAAAACCCAAGCGCCGGGGCTCCTCAACCTGCTTGATGACCGAAGGCCGGATGCGTGCCAGGGGCTCTGCATGCTCCGCGTCGCACAGAAGAGCCGCCTTCCGCTTTGTACCTCACTCCCGCTCCCGGCCGAGGTTCGTGGAAGGGACAGAACAAGGAGGCGGCTAGAAAGTGCTGTGGAGGTGGCTGCAACAACAAAGGAGGTTGCTCTTAAGTTTATGAGCTTCCGAAGGGCAGAGGCAGTCGACATAGGCCTGAATCTCCGGGCTTCGGCTGATCCAGTGCTGGGGCTTCTCCAGGAGCAAGCGCGAGTTCCTGCGTGACAACAGACGGCTGAAACCCCCTCAAGGGTTTAGGGTTTAGGGTTTAGGGTTTAGGGTTTAGGGTTTAGGGTTTAGGGTTTAGGGTTTAGGGTTTAGGGTTTAGGGTTTCGGGTCGCCTAGGCAACTCGTCGAATCAGAAGCATCGGGATCCCAGGTGCTCTAGAAAAGCGCGTCCTGTCACAGTATTCTTCCTTGGAGTGCCCATGGACCTTCTCGTAGTACTTGCGATCGAGGTAAAGAAGCCTGGTCATCTTGGCCCGGTTGTCCTCAGTGTGGGGGTTTACCATAATTGGGGGATCCTCAATAAAATCCCCAATTGTAGGGGCCCCCAAGAAGGTACCCCCTTATTTCGGACACCCCCCCCAGTGTTGCTTCCAAGCTGAAGGCGAGCTATTTCGGGCCTCAAGCAGCTCTCCAGGCACTCTTGAGAGTTGATTTGTGGGAGCGACAAAGTGCCCAGGGCTTTCAGATCCGTATCCTTATCGGTTTAGGGTTCTCTTTCTTGGGGGGGGGGGGGGGGGTCCTCCTCTGTGCAGCCCCTAAACCTTGAACCCTGAACCCTAAACCCTTTTTTTGCATCCGGACCCTAAACCCTAAACCCAAAGCCCTTGACCCTAAACCCTCAAACCCTTCACCGGATCTTCTGCAAGCCCAGAGGTCTGCATGAGTGAGGGAGGCGTTGTGGATCATCGTCTCCACTGAGGCTGTCGCCACGGGAGACCGGGTGTCCGGATGCAGCCTCGAGGGGGTTTAGGGTTTAGGGTTTAGGGTTTACGGTTTAGGGTTAGGGTTTACATGGACAGGGCCCCAGAGGCCCAATCTGTCAGGGGATGACCAGACGGGCTCGCAGATTCATGGGTCAACGCGCGTCAAACTTACGACTTTCAAGTGATAGAGGGGCCTTAATGATTAGAATGGGGTTTTGGGGGTTATGTTTATAGTATAATCAAAGGGGCCATAAGGGAATACGATTGGTCCTTCTTCCGACCCCAAAAGCATGGCAAGGAGCTGCTTGGCAAAGTGATGCGCCAAGTTGTTGTGCTCATCGTGCAGTACCAGGGCACTCTTGGCATAGTAGTCCAGCGTGGCGAGGTGCTTGTTGAGGTGCGCGGACTGCTGGGCCAGCATGAGCTCGCTGCACTCCGACACGTTCTCGCCAAAGGTACCCACGAAGTAGTCGATGTCCAAGACATCGGATTGGCAAAGGCCCTCAACCTAGGATGCGATGGCCCTTCAAGCCCTCTGAAAAAATATACGTCCCTAAACATGACCATCTTTAACCCAATAAGGGAAAAATACAAAAAGCTGTCCCTTTAGGGCCTACCTAGCAACCTTTAAGGAAAGATCTCCTAAATAGGACGCTCTTAAACCCAATCAGGGGACAATGGAACACTGTCCCTTAAGGTTTAGGGTTTAGGGTTTAGGGTTTAGGGTTTAGGGTTTAGGGTTTAGGGTTTAGGGTTTAGGGTTTAGGGTTTAGGGTTTAGGGTTTAGGGTTTAGGGTTTAGGGTTTAGGGTTTAGGGTTTAGGGTTTAGGGTTTAGGGTTTAGAGTTTGGGGTTTAGGGTTTTAGGGTTTTAGAGTTTTAGGGTTTAGGGATTTTGGGGCCTAGCAACATATAGGGAGATGTCCATGGCGACCTCGGCCTCCTCGAAGCTCAGAAAGCCCGAGGTGGAATTCATGATGTAGCTGAGGTCTGAGGCGATGCCCTCTTCACTCACCTTAGTGTTTGGTTCGTAGGGAAGGAGGGAATCAGACACCCTATATCCCCCTATAGATACCCTTTAAGGGATTACGTAGGTATACCCTTTAAGGGAGTACTAGGGTACCCCTATGTATACCCTTCAAGGGATTATGTAGGCTACCTTATTCCCCAAATTCCCTACTAACCAGCAGCAAGTCACGGTCCCGTTGGAGCACATGTGCACCATCTTGGAGACCTTCAGGGTTTTTTGGTTTAGGGTTTAAGGGTTCAGGGTTCAGGGTTCAGGGTTCAGGGTTTAGGGTTTAGGGTTTAGGGCCATCCTGGCTGTGACCTTCCCTGCGAAGTGCTCGATGGCATGCTGGCTCAGGTTGGAGCCGGCAAGCACCTCCAGCATCTCGGCCTCAAACTCCTTCATTTGGGATACTGTTCCCCCTTACACTCGCAGCCAGCTCCTTAAGAAGGAAATTCACAATAGGGGGGTACTGGAACCCCCCTTAATAAGCTACTAGAAGAACCCTACTTAGGAGCTGTTTGTTGCAGAATCCCAAAGCTCCTTCATCGCCAACAGCCAGCTTCTTAATAAGGGTATTAACAATAGGGGGGGGGGTACTAGAATCCCCCTGAATAAGGGCATTCAGACCCTATATTAAGGAGCTGTTTGTTTGTAGAATCCCAAAGCTCCTTCATCACCAAATGCTCCGCCGCATCGCGCCCCGCCACCTCGGCAGCGGCGATCATCTGGGGGTCATCGGTGTAGCCATCGCCCAGCACCGACACACCTAGCCCATGGTTTTGGGATTAGTATCAAGAAACTTAAGTGTCTGTTCCTTATCGATTTTAAGTACTCCTTAAACATGCAAAAGGTTACCCCTGCTATGACAAAGACACTGATGTTGGCCGCGACCAACCTGGTGAGGATCTCTGCCATGCGCACGAACTCCAAGCGAAGGAGCGTGTCTTCGTGGCCGGCGGCTTCCACGTGGCGCGGGTGCAGGCAAGCATCCACCGCCTCAATGATCCTCTGCGCTTTCTGCGTGGCGTTGTTCGTGCCATTGCTGCCATTGCCATGGCTGTGGTTCAGCATGTGGTCCTCTTGGAGCATGTAGCCGGCACTGCGAGATGCGCGCTGCAACATCGCGGCGCCCGTGGCCTCTTCTGGGGCACATGAATCTTCTCCGCGACCAAGTGGCGCGCAGGAAAACAGGAGCGCTGGGATCACTGCCACCAACCAAGTCATGGCGACAGGGCCAGCAATCCTACGGTAAGGGGAGTCGAAAGATGAGAAGGAATGTCAAAGCTTGCTTGAGCCCGCAAGTACAGTGCAGCAGAAGTCAACCCATGTCTGCAATCATGCTACAGCTTTCGTGCAGCTGGCATGTGCGCCTGTCCCGTATGATACGATTGAGAAGCTACCAGAGCTTCAAACAATGTTGGGGACCTATAGCGCCTATAGCATTTGCACTTCTTTCACGGTGTAGCACCTACAAACTTGTCTCTCAACTCTACTTTTTCAAGTTTCTTCTCTCTCTGTGAAACTCCCATACTGCCAGCATTAGAACGCCCTCTTTTGTCCCCGACATTTGTGTGGGCACAGTGGGCTACGTAAGCCTCGCCGTCAAGCTTCGCCAGACGGACGTCAGTCATCTTGATTCTGCAGCAATCCGGCTGCGAGCACTCACAACATATGGGCATTTTTGCCACAAAGAGGGGTCACCCTTTGTTATACCATAGGAACCCCCCAAAAAGGGTTTAGGGCTTAGGGTTCAGCTCCTTCTTGTCGGAACCCCCAACAAGGGTTACCCCCCCATTGGGTCGGAAATCGCAGCACAGTCAGAGGCGGCTTGCGAGTTCTTCCAGAACTTCATGTGCGTTTATGCGGCTTGCACTTTCTATTTTTTTTTTTGGGGGGGGGGCTTTAGGGTATTGAGGGTCGTTAGGTATGGAGGGTATTTGGGGTCTTCAGGGTCTTCAGAGGAGGGATCTGGGATGGCCACCTGCTTTCTGTGTTTGCTGTGTCTGGCATTTGGGGTCTTGAATCCCTACATCCCACAAACAAGTATGAACCCGATAACCCCTGCAAGCCCTATAAGACCTATAAACCCAAGAAACCCTGTAACCACCGGCTTAGGGCTTAGGGCTTAGGGCTTAGGGTTTAGGGTTTAGGGTTTAGGCCCCAACTTCGAAATCAAGAAGGAGCACCCTTTCTTAACACCCCTAAACTTGGGTGGCCCTTCAAACCCTCTGAAAAATATTCCTTGAAATAAGGCTTTAGGGTTTAGGGCTTTGAATACATCCTCTTCATCCCAATAAGCCGAACATGTACAATATCCCAAAAGGGCCTACCCAGTAAAAGACTAAGCCTCAGGCCGCCTCGATGGAAAAGGAAGGAAAGGGGTGCGGCTTGGTCAGCAGGGGCTGCCTTGGAAGCTGTTTCTGAAGGGGTGGCTTCAAGGTTTCTTGAGAGTTTAGGGTTCAAGGGTTTAAGGGTTGTTTTTTTGCCACCCGACTAGCCACAGCAATGCGGGGTACTGGGTCGGAACTTAAAAGGAAAAAAGTCACCCCCGCGCAGTGTAAGGCTACAGGGGATATCGCCCAGAGGGCATTCGTGGTAGGACATTGCGTTCGGACTGCATGTTTGGGGGGGGGGGGGCTTTAATCCCGTACTAAGACCTCATCGGGAACGGTAGCACGAACCAGTAATAGGATGGTATGCGACTACAGCCCTCCCCCACTTCTCGGTGCGGCCGACACCTTGGCCTGCAGCACTGATGACTTTGTACAACTATGCCTGACCTCCACCTACCTTGTTTCCTCCAAACAGGAAGAACCAGCACCACAAGTAAGGATGGTCAAGGGTTTTAGGGTTTTAGGGTTTAGGGTTTAGGGATAAGGGGGCTTCAGGTTTAGGATTTAAGAGCTTTAGGGTTGAGGGTTTTAGTAAGGGTTTAGAGGTTCTGTGCCTCGCGCCTAGGTGAATCAAAGTCCGCTTCTTTTAAGGGCTTTTTGCAGCATTCTTTGGGACGTTTTGGGTGGCTTTGGAAGTGTCTTGCTGTTTATGAGTCAGAAGATTTGGCCTTGGGCTTTCATAACGATGACGGTATCGTTCGTGAAGGAACACAACTCGTGAATTGTCCGAAAACGCCAATGGTTTCCACTGCCTAAGACACATATACGGCTCTGATTCGAGATACTGCCCTAATCCCAAGTCCCGTAAACTGAATTTCGGTGCTCCTCAGGGTTTGTGGCATGGCTGTAGCGCAAAAACCTATAAAACTCCGTTGCAAAACCCAGGGATTCAGCGCAAGTTCGTTTCGGGAGCCCGGAAGTGCAGTATTTTGTCAACCCTTTATACAACCCTGTCTGGGTAGAGATACTCCAGGGACACTCTGGGTTGTGCACTCCAGGGACACTTGGGAGTTAGGCACTCCAGGGACACTCTGGGGCTGGGCGCTCCAGCGACACTCTGGGAGTAGACGGGGCGCGGAGCAGAGTTCCGGGCGAGGAGAAGAGTTGGGTTTAAAATCTCACCTAGCAACCCCACACCGAGGGTGGGGAAAAACTACAAAGCCCTCAGAAACCCTACACCCTAAACCCTAAACCCTAAACCCTAAGCCCTAAACCACACATAAACTTGCAAAAGGGGAGCCGAGGGGCAAGTTCCTCCAAGAAGGTTGGCCTGCCGGCACGCTGATGCGCCAGTCCCGGACCAAGCCTTGTTGCGAAGCCCGAGAAGCCCAGATAGGTTGGGGTTTGGGGTGGGTTTGGGGTTTAGGGTTTAGGGCTTAGGGCTTCGGGCTTAGGGTTTAGGGTTTAGGGTTTAGGGTTTAGAGTTTAGGGCTTAGGTTTAGGGTTTAGGCTCTTCTTTGGCACCCGCGCAGCTGGCCGAACCAATCAGCGGGAATCCACGTGCACCACGAGCCGAACCCTGAACCCTCACTCCCTCCACCAGCACAACACGGAAAGCCTCCCAAACGATGGGAGGTGGTATTCCGCACATCAACCCATCACGGTGACTTGGAGGTTCATGGGTACTTAGAACCACAATTATAAATCTAGTTCTAACCTTCTTAGGGGACTTAGGGGGCTTACAAGTACACTTCTAATTGGGGGTTGTACCCTGAACCTCCCAGCAAGGTCAGCACGGGTCCCAGGAAATCGAGCCGCGAGATGGGACTTCTGGCACTTTAGGCCTTTTGCTACGGTGCGAGAGCGTCCACCCCGCAATCGAGGGGCGCGGGCACCAAACCCAGGGTTCAGAGCCGAAAACTTATGTGGGAAACCAAAAATCCAAAGCATCCAAAGCCCCAAAAATCCCCCAAACTCAAAAACCCTAAGAAATCCTAAACCCTACACCACCTTGTCGGAGTTATGAGAGGCAAGATGCGGGCAATGGCGACACTTAGCTCGAGGTCTGCGACGCGGCCTCCCGGCAAAGGGTTTGAGGGTTAAGTTTTGGGATTCGGGTATGGTTTGCTTGCTTGTTCTGTTTGTTCTTCTGCTTCGGGTTGTATGGTGTTGTATCTTGTTCTTCCGGGCTTGAGAAAGGCTGCAATCGGCTACATGAATAGCACCAAGTTTGGAGCCTATGGTCTGCAAATCAAACGGCACCTAGTTACCAGTTAGAAGGTTGGGTTTGCTCGGGGCTTTTATGCGTAAACCGCATGAAGCCACAGGAGCACCTGAATGGGGCTATCTTTCCTAGCCTGGGTACAACAACACCTTTGTGGGCTATGTGGTGTCTGACGCTGTGGGTGCTGGTGACGTTTTTAGTGTCCTAAGGTTTCCAATTTCACGCGTAAGGCCAGAAGCTTCGGAACGATGGCTTCTGAATGCAGCGATAAAGATGAAACCACTACGGCGTGCGAAGGCTCAAAAGGACCTAAACCTTCGTATGACCTTGCGACCTTCAATCTTCAGTTGTCCTACACGCTCTGAACCTCGAGCATGCAAGGCCTAAAACCCGAACCCGCACGCACGGGCCTCCCAAACACATGCGGGCCCCAAAGGAGAAAGGCGTGGCCAGCAGCTTGTCATCGATCACCTGAGGGGGTTCTGAGGCTCTGCAGATTTTTAGCGTTTGGGTTGGCTCCGCGGTGTCGAGTACTATAGGGGCCGCAGTAGTTAGAATCGTTAGAATAGGGTCAAGGGGGTCAGTATAGTGTAATTATACAGGAGCCATAAAGGAATTTTGTTAGTAGTGATTCCGACACCTATATTAGCTCTCGTCTCAACGAGCAGCAGCAACAAGTTCAGATCGCGGACAAGAAAACCCCAAGCCCTCGACCAAACATCTAAAAAACATGTTTCACGGCGTAAAGTCCGAGAGAGGTACAAAAAGGCGTAGCGCCGACGCAGAGAAGTTCTCGGACAAACCCATGCCCCAAACCCTAAACCCTAAAATAACGGGAATAAGAAACTACTCCGGGTCCTAATGAACCCCTCCCCCCCACCTCGGCTTCGGTTCCTCTGCGGGCCTCAACGGCATCCGCCAGCCATCGCTCCGGCTTGAACTCCGAAGGGTCCTCAAGGTTTGGGGCTGAGGGTTGAGGGTTGAGGGTTTAGGGTTTAGGGTTTAGGTTTAGGGTGAACTCCGAAGAGTCCTCCACCATGTGTAGGCAAGGTTTCTACCTTGGGCTATGCTCTTAATTTAGTTTTGGGTTTAGGGTCCAGCAGTTTTGAGCGTGTAGGGTCTAGTCCAGCCATTCTCTTGATCAACACCCACCCGCCTGAACCCTAAACCCTAAAACCTAAACCCTAAACCCTAAACCCTAAACCCTAAAACCCTAAACCCTAAACCATAAACCCTAAACTCTCAAGCCCAAGCCCTCACGCAAGTAGTCCTCGACATACTTGGGGTTGTTCTGCACGGAGAAGACGTTGAAGCCAACTGGGGTCCCTCAGTGTCGGGGATTTCCGAAACCCGAAACCGAAGCCCGAAACCCCGAAACCCCGAAACCCCGAAACCCCTAAACCCCTAAACCCCTAAACCCCTAAACCCCTAAACCCCTAAACCCCTAAACCCCTAAACCCCTAAACCCCTAAACCCCTACACCCCTACACCCCTACACCCCTAAACCCCTAAACCCCTAAACCCAAAATCCTAAATCCTAACCCCTAAACCCTAAACCCTCAGCCCTAAGCCTTGGGTTCTTTGCATGTGTATATAATTATAAGTATATGTATATATGTAATTAAAAGTATAAGTGTATATATAAATACAAGTATATATATATATATATATATAAGTATATATATATATATGTATATGTGTGTGGATATGCTTTGTCTCGGAAGTAATTATGGTACTGTTGAGCCCAGCATATGACTCAGGGAGCGCGCTGCATGCTGCGTGGGCTCTTCCTACGATGTTGTACATCTTTCCATGATGAGGTGGGTTTAGGGTTTAGGGTTTAGGGTTTAGGGTTTAGGGTTTAAGGTTTAGGGTTTAGGGTTGTCCATTGGCCCCAATGTCGGTTCAACAAGACGAACCGACGAATGCCGAAGTGTTGCGTTTCGTTGCAGCTTTCTCATTCTTTTTGCGTGTCTGCCGAAACACCGTCGCCTGCTTGGATTATTCCGATAACTTTGCGATGCTTTGCAGCGTTTCCGATGGCAGAGCTGCGTCGTGCTTTTCTGCTAAAGGAAAAGAAAAGGGGGAGGGGGCATGATCCTGACCTCGATGATGATACTAACTATGCATGCAGCTAAATAACAACACATGGCATGCGAAGCATTGCAACATCTGAGAAAGCAGCCACGCAGCGAAAGGTTCGCGGCACACGGCCACAGGCAAAATGCACGAGAAGCAGCAGTGAATCTACGTAATGTCGTTGCGTCGAGTCGTCTGCCACGGTAGGCTAGCATGCAACAGTAGCAGCAGGTCCAAGAAGCACAAAAATGTAACTGCAACCGCACCCTTCCCCGAGTAGCCGCGCACAATGCACCTTCTTACCGACAGCAACAAACCTGAGCAGCCCGTACTGAAGAAGTAGCCACACAGTCGATGACGAAACCTGTGTCCCCAATCCATTAAGCAAAAAGCGAAAGCTCCGTAAATACGGAGCTCTGATCGTCCCGGAAACGAACCCACTTGGTTAAACCCCCAACCCTAAACCCCAAAACCTTAACCCTAAACCCCAAAAGTCTCAAACCCAAACCCCAAACCCGAAACCCCGAAACCCTGAAACCCTGAAACCCTAAACCCTAAACCCTGAAACCCTGAAACCTATACCCTACCTGGGAGCCCTGGGGCCTTCTGGCACGGAGTAGCCGGCCAGCTCCACGTCACAGGGGGCCTGGGCTGATCTTGGGAGACCACGGGGTTTAGGGCTTAGGGCTTGGGGCTTAGGTCTTAGGGTTGGGGTTTAGGGTGTAGGATTTAGGGTTCAGGGTTGAGGGTTCAGGGTTTAGGGTTTAGGATTTAGGGCTTAGGGTTTAGGGCATCAGTTTGTTGCCGCCCGCCAAGAGACCATCCACACTGCAGGTAGCAATATCGGGGACACAGACTTAGCCGTGAAACGCCGGCCACGTCCTTTACCCAGCACCACACATGCCATCCAACCAAAATCAAAACAATCACTCGTATGGACCCAGGTGTAGCGCGTGAAACCATCAGGCATCTCCCATGAGCTGTCCCCTCAACCAGAGTTGCACAGGCAGGCATCACCAAACACCTTCACACGTCCTAATCCTCCATGCCTGAACTTTCGGGGCAGCCCTAAACCCTAAACCCTAAACCCTAAACCCTAAACCCTAAACCCTAAACCCTAAACCCTAAACCCTAAACCCTAAACCCTAAACCCTAAACCCTAAACCCTAAACCCTAAACCCTAAACCCTAAACCCTAATGCAGACATACGATTTGAGCCTAGGGGCCGGCCGCTGGGTCATAATGGGAGTGGCTGGGGCGACGCGGTGCGTTTCCCGGATCACAGCCCTGGGGCAAGGCTTTGTGGGTTTAGGGTTTAGGGCTTAGGGTTTAGGGTCCTGCATAGAACCCTTTTTTGCAAGGGCCCAAAGGGCCCTTGCCTACTTAGTTTCGGGGAGAACTGCGGAATAACCACAGGATGTACAGCTCCAAGAAAAAACCATAATTGTAGTCCTCACTCGGCTGGGCTGCAAGGGGTCCCTTGTTGATGGAATCCTACTTGGAGATTCATGGTTACTGATAACCCCAATTATAAGTCTACTTTACTTATAGCCTACTTAGGAGACTTGGGGAAGCTTGGAAGTTCAGTCATAGTTGTGGGTTACAAGTTACAAGTGCCCTGAACCTTCATGTAGAGCACCCTTGCTTTGCCTGAGATAGGGCAGCTTCGACTTCATGTTTGCGGCGATCTCCTCGGTGATGTCTCCCGAGCCTTGGGAATCAGCAGCTCGGGCGTCGACTTGATTTCGGAAGAGGGCGCGCCGAAACCCCCGAGACCTTAAGACCCTAAGCCGTAAACCCCTGAACCCTGAACCCTAAACCCTTAAACCCGAAACCCTCCCAAGATTCAGGGTTTTAGGGTTTAGTCTTTTACGGCTTAGAGCCTAGGGTTTTGGGTTTAGGGTTTCGGGCTTAGGCCCTTTGCTAAGGTAGATTTCAGGGACGTTTGTGAGATCAGCTACGTACCCGAACGTGTGAACTTTGTAGCGGCTTTTGTCACAACCTGATATCGAGCTTTCCACAGCTTTGTCAAAGGAAGACCCCTAAACTTACAGCCCTCGAAGCCTCCCCTAAATCTCAATCCTAAACCCTAAGCCCGTCAACTGTAAACCCTGAACCCTTTTGCGCCAGGGCTCCCTGAGCCTAAACCCTAAACCTTAAACCCCAAACCCTAAACCCTAAACCTTAAACCCCAAACCCTGACCCTTAAAAGTTAAACCCCAAACCCTAAACGGCAGAAAGGGCTTGGTCTCGTGCAACTAAGGCCATCACCGAGCACTTCGCGAAGTTCTTTCCTTAGGATCTCCTGCTTCTCCGGGTTCATAGCGAGGTAGAGGAGATTCCAGCTGATTACCTGAAGCTTAGGGTTTAGGGCTTAGGGTTTAGGGTTTAGGGTCGCACTCGCACAAGGTTCATGGATTCAAGTCAGGCTGGCAAGGGCTTAGGATTTAGGGATTCAGTCGTTTGCCGAAAAGATCTTTATGTGTCGCTCTCTCTTCTACGTCAGAAGCTTAGGTGCAGGGCTCCGGGGTTCAGATGGTTACCTGACGTTGAGGTTCCAGGGCCTGTGGGTTCACTTTGATTTCTTGAAGTTTGGGGTTTAGAAAGGTACACCCCCCTATTCTTGGGAAGCGCCCATCGGGGGTGTATGTATGTAGGGTGTAAATAGGGGGCCCAAAAACAGTGAACTGTTGATGCACGCATAAACCATCCAAGACACTGGGTTCTCAATTTTGGGTTTCTTACTCGCTCCCGCATAGCTGACCAATGTGATATGTAGCTGGACTCTCCCCTTAAGCTAGGTTCTCGTGAAGGAGCTTCATTCAAGCTCCCTTCTTAAGGGAGGCTCAGTTCCTGCCTTTATTGCTAACTACAAATCACTACCTACAAAACAAGAGCCCCCTCAAGGGAAGCCAGGTGCGGAGGTCGTGGTGTCGATGCCGGCCAGCATCACGCTCGCAGCGACCTCAAAGGGCCGAGACGCGAAGCCCTACAGCCCAGGCTTCTGGGGCTCAGGGCTTGGTGTTGTACATCTAGGGCTGTTAATGTTAGGGTTGAAGATTTGGGCCTAAACCCTAAAGTCTATAGCACATCGTCACACCCTGTCAGTTTCAGCTAGCACCATAAAAGCAACTGGTAATGGCAAAACTGCACCCTAAACCCTACACCCTACACCCTACACCCTAAACCCTAAACCCTAAACCACCCAACAGCTTGATTTCTTCTTTCAAACCCTGCGCCGCCTCCTTGATGCCCTCCACTGGAATGCTCTGGCGGCCAATGACTCGCACGATGTAGGGCTTCGTGTCCGCCGGCGTGTCCTAATCAGGGTTTAGGGTTTAGGGTTTGGGGTTTAGGGTTTAGGGTTTAGGGTTTAGGGTTTAGGGTTTAGGGTTTAGGGTTTAGGGTTTAGGGTTTAGGGTTTAGGGTTTAGGGTTTAGGGTTTAGGGTTTAGGGTTTAGGGTCAAGGGAGTACGACTGGTACCCCTAAGGTGGCACCCTTGGGTTTTGGGGGCCCTTTTTAAAAGATCCTCTAAGGGAATATCAGGGCCATACTCGGAGTATGTTGAGGGGAGCCTTTAAGGGTACAACCTGGAGGGTGCGAGACTTCATCCCTTGATCCAAAAGCATGGAAGACAGGATGTTCTAAGGCCTCAAGTGCCTACTTGGCAGTTCAGGGTACTTTACAACCCCAATTATAACTGTACTTATAAGCCCCCGAAGCCCCCCTAAGTAGGTCATGCGTAGATTTCTAGTTGTGGTGAGAAGTACCCATGAACCTCCAAGTAGTCGCTCGGTGCTTGAGCTTGTTGTAAAGACAAATCCAGGGTAGTGTTTTGGAGAGTGATTAGGCTTTCATTCCCCTGAGGGTGAAGAAACTAGTAACTTATGTGAAGAGCTGAAAGCAAGACGTACGGCAACAAACCCAACTCTGAATGTTCTGTAGGTCCTGCCATACGAACCCAAAACTACCCCAAACAAAAAAATGCCAAAGTTATGAACCAAAGCCCCTGCAAACCCTAAACTTCCGACCATGTACCTTGGCGCTCAAGGGGGGGGGGGTTCTGCAAGCACTGTCTAGGTTAAGGGTTTAGGGGACATGAAGCCATTAGCGTCTTCCACCAGGCAGCATGTTTCAGCCCTTTTTCACCCAAAACCCTACAGCCCTACAACCCTACACCCGAAACCCCGAAAAGTTCTCCCCGAACAAAAAGGAGCTCCCAAGCCGTTCAGGCTCCAGAGACCAGTAGCATGGCTCACAACAGAGGTGGGCATGTACAAAAGTAAGGTTTAGGGTTCGGGGTTGCTGTTTTTTGCTACCCGCTTCTGGCTTAGGGCTTACACGCTTTCTTGTCCGGCTTGCTCACGTGCCAGGGCCCCCACCCCTTATCCAAAGTGGTTTAGGGTTTAGGGTTTTAAACCCTCAAACCCGAACCCTACCTAAACCCCAAACAACACACAGCTCACAAATCAGCCTGATGACTCCCAAAAACGCCTAGAAGACCGTAGAACAGCGCGTTCTTGAAAACCAAAGCAGAAGAGTGTTTCTAAGAAACCCGAGCAGAAGAGGGTTTTCAAAAACCCTAGCCCAAGAGTGCTGTCAAAAAACCCTAGCAGAAGAGCCTGTTTTGTTGTTTTGTTTGTTTCAACCCTCCTCCAGGAGGAGTCTCCAAAACTCCCCCCCCGTGTCCTTGAACTTCTCCAGCGCCTCCTCGAGCATCTGGCAGGAGTACTCGTAGCTCCGGTGCCAAGATGCCTTGAACCTGAGAGCGACTTCAGAAGCTAAGCCCTGAAGCCTAGCTTGTCTTGAAACCGGACTTGTAGACCCTAAACCCTAAACCCTAAGCACTAAGCCCTAAACCCTAAACCCTAAACCCTAAACCCTAAACCCTAAACCCTAAACCCTAAACCCTCATCTCCTCTCTCTCCCAGGCATTCGAAACATCAAGCCGGCCAGGGATAGCTCTCCTAATCTCCAAATTAAGGCATCTTCTGCAACATTCTGAAGATATGGTTGATGCATATGTCCTAGATCACACCAGGGATCCGTAGTGAGGTGCTCGTGCGATATTGGAACTTTTGGGTAGGCGATGGGACACCGGTACTCCACAAAGGGTGGGTTCTTTGGGCCTACAGGGTTCAGAACGAGGGAAATGGGTTTAGGGCTTTGGGGCTAAGGGTTTGGGGTTTAGGGTTTTATGGGGAACTTCTCCACGATATCATGAGGGTTTCCGGGCCCCAAAACTACCAGCTTTGTTTCAACAGTTAACTCACCAGATTTGACTGCCCCTAAACCCTCTCTCCGAACACCCAAGCTACACGCTATCCCAAGAGCCTCAAACCCTGAAAAGCCCGAAACCTGCAAACCCTGAAAACTCTGAAGCCCTCAACCCTTCGACCCTTAAACCCCAAAAACCCTGAAATTCCTGAAAAAGTGTGCCGTCCCAAGGGGAGTCCCACTGAATCCAGAGATTCCCGAATCGAGGCACTTCTTGTTCAGGGGATGATTCCGGAAGATGCCCATCTTCAGATGGGGCTGGAAGACGGAAGTTCCCATCATGCCTCGGCTACAGGGCTTTTTTGGGGCTTGGTTTTCTAGGGGTTCTGTTTTTGGACCCTTAAGTAAGGTTGTACCCTTGGGTTTTGGGGACCCTGTTCGGATAGTAGAAGGGCCATATTTGGAGCCTTTGAAGGGGAACCTTGAGGGGTACAACCTTAGGAGTAGGAGTCTTACTCCCTTGAGGTTTGGGGGGGGTTCAGGGCTGGTTCTCTCGGTCCCCCTACGGCCTGTTTAAAGGTCTATACTTAGGCCTTTGAGGGGTTTGGGGGGGTTCCTGAAAGGGTGTGGGGTTTAAGTGTTTAGCGCTTGTATTCGGGGTGGTTTTAGGGTTTAGGTTTTAGTGCTTCTCCCCAAACAGTGCTTGCACAATGGGGTTCTTACGTTCAGAGTAAAGGAATTGGTTGCCGGCCGCAACGGCGCACGCGGCGGTGGGGCGGTTCGATGCTCCCGCCGTGGTTTCGCGCGAATTCCGTTGCGTTTCGATGCTCCCGCTGTGGTTTCGCGTGAATTCCGGCCTCTCGTGGCCTCTTCAGGCCTCTTCTGGCTCCCGCTGTGGTTTCGCGTGAATTCCGGCCTCTTCTGGCTTGCTCCATGCAGCCTCTTCTGGCCTCTTCTGCGGGGGCCACTTAGGTTGCGGGCCGTAACGGCGCACACAGTGGGGCGGGGCCTTCGTTTCGACGCTCCCGCTGTGGTTTCACGTGAATTCCGTTGCGTTTCGATGCTCCCGCTGTGGTTTCGCGCGAATTCCGTTGCGTTTCGATCGCGCGAATTCCTGCCGCTTCTGGCATCTTCTGAGGGGGGCCACGTAGATTGCGGGCCGCATTTTTCGAGACCTCTTCTGGCCTCCTTTGGCCTCTTCTGGCCCTCCTCACTGTTTGCGGCATAATTGGGTTCTATATACTTGGCCCTTAAAGGGTTCCCTGTAAACAGCTGCGGTAGTCTGGCTATACCCCATCTACTATAGCTTTTGGGTTGCAGTCACCTCATGCTGATTCTAACCTGTTGAGGGTTTAGGGTTTAGGCCTACTCTGGCTACCCCTTGTAAGAATTTCGGCAGGGCAGCGGAAGACGTCAACGGTGTTCTGCACAAAGTCCAGGTCCTCCGGCCTCTCCGACAGGTACATTCTTCGTTTGTTCGACAACTTGCGTGTTAAGCCGAAATTGAACCTCGCAGAAGGGGACGTCGTCTTCATCTGCGTCCCGTAGAAGAGTGCACTGAACATGTCGAACGCCAGGCGCCTTCTTTGCATGGTGGGGAGACCCCAAGCTCTAGGGGATAGAGGGTCGAGAACTTTTGGGTTGCAGGCTTCAGGGGGGCTAGGATCTTGTGCTTCGTCGCGGCATTGACCATGACCCTAAACCCTAAACCCTAAACCCTAAACCCTAAACCCTAAACCCTAAACCCTAAACCCTAAACCCTAAACCCTAAACCCTAAACCCTGAACCCTAAACCCTAAACCCTAAACCCTGAACCCTAAACCGCCTTGGAGGGTCTGGGGCCAACTCCAACTCTCGGAGCTTGTGAGCCTGGAGAAAGGGGGCATGACGGACGTGACTACTAGGCATCGGCACCCTCAGGGCATCCTCAAAAGGCCTTGGCCCTCTCAGGTCTTAGCCCTCAAGCCGAACCAGAAGGGAACCTTTGTTGAACCCAAACCGTAACCTTAAACCCGAAACCCCAACAAGCACCCAAAAAGGCACCCTAGCCCTAAGAACCCAAACCCTAAAAAGCGGTAAAAAATAACCCCAAGCTCTAAATCCTTTCTTGCCTCAGGGCTCCTCCCCAACTCGAAAAAACCCTAAACGTTAAACCCGAGGGGCGTCGTGAACTGCTGCGGCTCTTTGGCGAATGTCGGCATGTGGGGAGAGGCCAGCTTCGTGGCCTGTTGCTGAGTTTTGGAGGGGTTTGGGGTTTTGGGGGTTTGGGGTTTTGGGGGTTTGGGGTTGGGGGGTTTGGGGTTTGGGGTTTACAGATTTACAGGTTTGCGGGTTAGGGTTTGGGATTGATTGTTTTTTGGCCACCCGTCTCGCTGACCTGCTCGGGGAGCCACTCCGCCGGGAACAGTCGAGGTTTGATGTAGCCGTGTTTGGAAGAATTCTCCTTCTCCCCCGCAACTCTTAGAGCCACGCCCTACAACTCCACCAAAGCACCCTACACCCGAAACCCCAAGTACCACCAAGTAAACAAAGGGCCCGCGTGAAAACAGGGGAAGATGTCGGACGTTCTGAAGCTCTCACTATGGGTCGGCCCGCTTTCCGTCTACTACTTAGAGGTTCAGTGCATGGTACTTCGTAACCCAGTAATAACTCACTTATAACCCAATTATAACCCTGTTGGGGTACCTACGGGGCTGAGATGTGGGTTATGACTACACCTATAATGGGTTCCTAAGTGCCCTGAAGCTCCAACTAGCCCATCCTGACTCACAACTCCACCCCGAAGACTCAACCACGTACACGGCAGACATGGGGGGGTTTCCCAAAGTCGGGGCACCTTTTTGGCAGCGGGAATCGTACTATTTGGGGTTTATATATTGGGGTGGTCCCCCTATTTTCGTACCACCCCAAATGGGGTGGAGGGTCTAGAGGCAGATGTGGGCCTGCATGCTGCTCTCAGTGTGTAGTTCGTTAGGTTGCTCATGCGCGCAGCGAATTTGTCGGGTTCTTCAATCGTGTTTTGGGTTGTAGGTATTGAGGTTTAGAAAAAGTTGTGTCAGCGGCTGCTGAAAACTAGCTCACACCATAGGCCCGAAAATCTAAATTTTGAAACCCCAACCTCAAAATCCTAAACCCTAAAGCCGAATGCAAAATCCTAAAACCCTCAGCCAGCGAACTGAGTGGAATGGGCCAGGACCAGTGCCAACTACCACAATATTCCCGTTAACTTTAGGGTTTCGGGTTTAGGGCAACCGGTCAACGTGAAGCCCGAAACCCGAAAGCCCTTGACCCTTTTCCCCCTATTATAGGGGCCTCAACAATTAGAACAGAATTTTCGGGGGATATTATGGTCTAGCCATAAAGGGACCATAGGGGAATGCTACTAGTCATTTCTCCGACCCCCTACAGTACCCTGTAGTACAACTCCCGGCCTCGTTGATGTAGGGAAGGTAGGAGCGCGCCGTCTTCGGGCCGATGATGTCCTCCTGCACCTCTCATGGCCAGCCGCAACAGAAAGAGATGAACCAGCAATCAATATTTCTAGTTGCCCCGAGTACCCTGGGCCAAACAAGGTGAACGCCTTGCAATTGTGGTAGGATTATATCTACCCGAAGAGGTTAAAGGTCAAATACTCAGCTACTAAGTATTTGTCCTGCTGGAGATGCATCCTTAGAGGTGTTGAGCTTTAAGGTTCAGACCGCAGGGTGGAAGGACGCCGGCAGACCTGGAAAGCAAAAGGACCTTGAACTCCTTACTATACCCTGAACCCGAAGTCCTAAGAGTTCAAGCGGAGGCACCGCCATGCGGACGTTCCTCCAAGGCTCCCCACGGCCCGTGAAGCCGAGGTAGACGTGCTTCTCGTGCTCCTCCTGGGTGCCCGGAGAAGGCTTTTAGGGTTCAGGGCTTAGGGTTTGGGGTTTCGGGTTGAGGGTTTGGGGTTTGGGGTTTAGGATTCAGGGTTTAGGGTTTGGGGTTTAGGGTTCGGGGGTTAGGGGTTTCGGGGGCCACAGGGTTTGCGAAGTTGGGGCAGCGGGCATGCCTAGTTCGTTTGGTTGCTTGGTGTCCTTCGGTTCCGGCGATCCAAACCACAAAAGTTGGTCCACCCAAAAGCAACTACATTGGAGTTTAGGTAGAACTTCAGGACTTTGGTGTAGGGTTTGGGTCTTCAGGCACAGGGGGACCACCCAGCACTTCGGTCCTGAACCCTGAACCCTGAACCCTGAACCCTAAACCCTAAACCATAAACCCTAAACCCGAAACCCTCTAACCCCTCTAACCCCTCTAACCCCTAAACCCCTAAACCCCTAAACCCCTCTAACCCCTAAACCCCTAAACCCCTAAACCCCTAACCTAAACCCTAAACCGTCCCATTCTTCAGTTGGGCTTCTATGGTACGTTCTTGCTACAAGTCTTGATCCGTTCTAAAATGGGCTTTTGATGAAACTTCTGGGGAGACCCGGGTGCCAAGTAAGCAGTCACATGACATGGGCAACTTGGGATGTTCCCCCTTAGACTAACAGTCCTTAATCGGGATTATAATAGGGGGTAGAAAAATCCCTATTAAGGACTGTTGGTACAACGGGGCACATCCCAATGGGCAACCTTGAAAAAACAACCTTCCACACAATCCCGATCTTCCTAGTCGCGCTACTTCTGTGTGCAAAGCTCTTTCTACAAAAGTCGTCGCCCTACACCCCCCCCCCCCCCCCCCCCCCCCCCCCCCCCCAAAAAAAAAAAAAAAAAAAAAACAACAACGGCAGGGTGGTGCTCAGCATGCGGTCAAGTGTCGGCCCACCTTTTGACAATCCAGATACTGTCGGCCCCCCCGACTGGGTACATACCCTCATTTCCTCAGCAGCTGCGCTCTTAGAAGGAACCCGCTTTCTCGGAAAATCGATCATGAGCAGAGCAGTCCAGCGTTCGAAGCTGCGGGCGTCTTCTTCAGGCTTCGGGCCCAAAAACTTGGGTATCCCTCCCTTGACATGCGACTACCCCAAGCCCAGGTACCTATTTTAGCGGCTACTTGAACCCTGAACCCTAGGCACCCCAACATTGTGGACTTGGGCCCCTAGCAGGTTTGCCAGGAAACCCCAACTTGAGATCACATCCCCGGTTGCCTTCTCAGGCCTCAATGCTTGCCGTGGCTCGGTACATCTGCATGTACCTCAGATATGGGGTGAGATGGAAGTTCTCACAGGGGTTCATTCTCCCAACCTACGAGGATCGCAGGTGCCAAGAAAGCATTCAGAGCATCGGACCCCAGAATTGCACCCTCTGGCCATGAGGCCCGTACTTGACTGAAGTCCTACAGCCCCATAGACCTGCAGAGAAAAGGAACACGGAAAACACAAGCGCGACACACTCGGCACAACCAGACTGTTGATCCGTGAATGCCAGCGTGCGCCAGAGCAAAGGCCTCTCTCAATCCCCGTGTGTGAAAGCGGAGGGCACAACCAGCCAAAGATGGCACATGAGATGCCCCCCTCCCCTGTACATCCGGTGTTCCGGAACCTGGAAATGACAGGTGCAACCTGGTGGAAAACATGGCAGTGCTGTGCGTTTGGCAAAAAGCGCAAAAGCGCAGCACTGCCAGGGATTGATTGTGGCGATGCAAAGGCTCTCGGCTTGAAGCATCACTGTACAAGTTGCAAGGGCCAGAGTGAGAAAAGCTCCTTTGAATTGGCAGGTCCTGTGCTGATGAAAGCCTGGGTGATGGAAGCTGGTTCTGAGTCGGGGCAGCATGCCAGAAATCCGTTCAGCACAGGCACCTGCCGCAGAATGAGATATGCCTGCTTCCACGCAAGCGATCGGTTCATCCTCCTGGCAGGTCCTGACATTGCGAAGGCCCACCCAGGACAAAGCCGTCCTTTGGATAAGCTAACGATCCAGGTGCTGCTTCGAAAAGCAGCAATTTCAGTGCAGGGCGTGTGCCCGCAAGTGAAAGATGCACCAAGAGGGCAGAACATGCACAAGACCGGCTTGCTAGATGGGAATTCGGGTTGAGGGCTTCGGGATGCTTATAGGGTTCAGGGTGATAGACACAAGGATTTCCATCGAGCTCCGTGTCTCGCGAATCCAAGGCATCGGTCTGAGCCTTGGGAAAGAATTTAACGGACAACTACCTCAGACTCTCAAAATTGGGAGTCGTCGAAAATCCTCGAAACTCGAGTGCCTCGGTCTCCAAAGGGACTCCAAAGTCGAGGTTCCTCTACTTGAGAAAGCACACCCAAGCTGCGAGGAAGCCCTCTCTTCAGGAGTCTCGGCAGTCTTGAGGCTTCCTAGGTGGAGATGGCGATGAGGAGGACGCCTGGCACGCGGAGGGCCATACCGAGGCAAGCCCAGACCCGACCTTTGCAGCTCTTCACCTCACCGAAGCATGCCATGCCGATGATCAGCCCGACGATGCCGGGAAGGCTGCCGATGATCGGGAAAGCCACCGCGAATCCGAGGTCGATGTTGGCCTGGAACCAGGCCACTTGGGCAATGCCCCAAAGGACTCCCGAGGCGATGGCCGGAAGGATCATGCGGCGTGGCATGTGCCGCCTTTTTCGAAGCACCGCTGCGTAGATGACGAGGGCCAGGGAAGCGGTCCCGAAGATGCCGCAGAAGTGGCTGAAGACGTAGTCCATGATCATTTTGCTGTGATCCTCCCCGAAGGTCCCCTGCATGAGGGCCGTTGGAAGGTCGAAGGTCGTCCCGAAGAGCAGTCCTGCGAAGAGGGCCATGCTCAGACCCAGCACAAGATTGGCACTCTTGCAAGGAGTGGAGTTTCCGGAGGCTCTGGAGACCTGGTTCTCGAGATCAATTTGGCTAACCGAAGATTCCGGACAGGTCGTGCTCAGACTTTCTTCGGATATCTGGGATCCTGGACCCGCCTCACAGGCCTCAGAGGGTTTTGCTGCTTTCTCTGGGCACTCAGCGATGGCCTTGGCGACCACATCCTCCGGGCCCTGCGCGTCGCATCGCGCGGCCACGGAGAAGAAGATCAGGGACGACAAGGCCAGGCCCAAACCCACGCAGTTGGCCAGTGGTCTATCAACATGCTCCTTCTTCACGCCGAAGAGCCCAAACTGTCCCGTGAACCAGCCCATGATCATGTTGCTCAAGTCCCAGACCGTCAGCCCCAGGCCCATGCCAATCAGCTTGATGATGTAGGGGCACATGAGGTTCCTATACTCCCCCTTAAAGAACCTTAATAAAAAAAACACTATTTTTAGATCCCCTCTTGGGTTATATAACGCACAAATTAAAAAAAAAAAATCCCAAGAGGGATTAATATGAGGTTCCCGACCATCCAGATGGCCCCGCCGAAGGCCGCCCAGGGCTCGAACTTGGCCATCCCAAGCCCCGGTGGGCTGCTCAGGGCCATCCCTGCCACCAAGCCCACGATTAGGATGCCAACCTTGGGGACATGAACTCCAAAAAAAGGGTCGGTCCATAGACTACTATACTGCTATAATTAGCTATTGAGGTATTTATGAACCCTAAACCCTCTTAGGGGGTCATTTCGTCCCCAAGGGAACGGACATCACGGCGGAGAAGAAGATGCCGTCCCCGGTATCGATGCCCTTTACGGGCAGGTAGTTGATGCCGAAGCCCACGCCGGCTATGAGGCAGCAGCTGTATCCTAAGGCCAAGTCGCCGCTCATTTTCTGCCGCGAAGTCTGGGGGCGAAGCTGGGAGGCTGAACGGGACTTCCCCCCTCTCGAGCACTGAGCACTTTAGGATCCGAGAGTTAGAACTTTGAGGGGAGGGTCCAACGTCAAGCAGGTCGTCCTATTACCGGTAGAGCAGGTCGTAGTTCGTAGTGCCTTGTAGGGTGTATTTGGGGGAAAGCCCCAAAAAACCAACAAGAAGTCAAGGAGCATTTCAGGTCTGCAAACCGTCACCTCGTTCTGGCCGACCATGTTCAGCTTGTAAATGTCACCAAACCTGTCCATGTCGAGCTGTGGCTGGGATTAAAAAGCCCTAACATTCCCCAGGTACCTACTCTCCTTTTGGGCTTAGGGTTTAGGGTTTAGGGCTTAGGGTTCAGGGTTCGGGGTTCAGGGTTTAGGGTTTGGGGTTTGGGGTTTGGGGTTTGGGGTTTGGGGTTTGGGGTTTGGGGTTTGGGGTTTGGGGTTTGGGGTTTGGGGTTTGGGGTCTGGGGTTTGGGGTTTGGGGTTTGGGGTTTGGGGCTCAAACCCTGAAATCTCCAAACCCTGAACTGTCTTGCCGGCTCTGCTCGCGAGCGAGCAGCTCATGGTAGTACTCGTCGTGGGCCTTCTGCAGCTGCGGGCCTGCCACAGGAGACGTATATGAAGTAGGGTTTATATTTCTTGTACCCCCAAAGGGACACCCCATATATACACTCACCAATATTAAAAAGGAACCTTCTGTACACTCACCAATAACAGTAGTAAAAACCCTACTTCATATAAATTCAGGAAGGTGAGGGGCTTAGTATAGGGGCCTGAATAATTTAGAACAGGGTTTTGGGGGGGGTCGTTCTAGTCCCTTTCTGTATAACTATTTTGGGACTACAAGGGAGACTGTCATTATATTCCGACCCCTAGATTAGCACGTTGAGAGCTTAGGATTCTGGGTTTGGGGGTCTTAGGGGGTTGTTTTTGGGGTATGGGCTTTCATGGCTTTGTTTTTGACGAACCACTCAGCTCAGGGGTTTTGGGGCTAGGGAATTATGGGTTTGGGGTTTGGGTTGTGTCTCGGAAACATCACCTTTGAATCCCGACTTGCTGTAGAAGGCAAGCAGAAATACTTCTCAGACATCCTACTCAGCAGTAGCCAAGCATCGCCCACAAGCAACAACCTAACAACCCCTAAACCCTGAACCCCAAACCCCAAACCCCAAACCCCAAACCCAAACCCCTGCAATTCCAAGCCCCAAATCCCTGAACTGGCCTTTGGGCGCGCTCGTGCCATCCAGTCCTGGGATCTTTTTTTAAGGCAGAAACTCTCATCAACGCTGATTACAACCTCTTCGAAGTCCATTGCACGTGAAGATTACAGGCCCAAGGCCCTATCACAGCCCTTACGCAAAAATACTCATTTGCGACACCATCAAGGTCCTTTACGAGACATCCGGCTGTGCAGCCTCAGAAGCCGGAGAAAACAAAAAACCCAGGCGACAGTTCCTTCTATCCCCCTGGATATACCCTGTAAGGGACTTTATAGTGTACCGCATTCCCTCGTTCCCTACCAGGAGGCAGTAAGAAAAACACCCTAAACCCTAAACCCCAAACCCCAAACCCCAAACCCGAAACCCGAAACCCGAAACCCGAAACCCGAAACCCGAAACCCTAAACCCTAAACCCTAAACCCTAAACCCTAAACCTGCCCAGGCTCTTGACATGAAGTCGGGCAGGGATCCCACGATGGGCCAAGCCCTGGGTCCTCCGGGGTTTAGGGTTTACGGTTTCGGGTTTAGGGTTTGAGGTTTAGGGTTTAGGGCTTCAGAAAAGTTCGGGATACCTGCTTGGGGGGGCGTCGGAACGAAATACGAAGTTTGGCATGCCAAGAAAAGAAGTCTCTCTGCTAATGAGTCCCTATATTCCCTAAGCCCCCAAAGCCCTCAACCTCAACACGTGAGGACCCTCAGTCCTGGAATGTCCTGCAAACCAAGCGCCGTGGAGAACGGACGGCCAAGACGCCGCAACACTCCGGGAAATGTCCGCATCATGACACCAGGGCTAGAACGGATGGGAAAAACGCCTCTGGAGCAAAAATGAGGGCTGCGGCGACCGATTCTTCAGGTTCATACTTACTACGCCTCTGTCTTGGGGGAAGGCTTGAGGGCTTTCAGGAGTTTTTGGAGTAAGTCCTGTTTGTAGGCTTTGGGTTCTCTGTGCATCCTACGGGAATTGCTACCTTGCAACCTAGGGACCCCCAAACCTTTGTTTTAATTTCATTGAGGGTTTGTACTAGTCTCACCAAAAAAACCCAATATACACCCACACCCGAAAGGAACCCACATACACCCACCAAGTTGCTGCTGCTCGCCGCAGCAACTGTGTCGTTGGTGGCGGTGCGCAGGGGAATTTCGCAAACTCTGAGGAAGCGCTTGCCGCCTTTCTTACCTCCCCGAAACCGAACATGCCTTGATTTTGTCTCGCACGAGCCTCCGATGCCTACGGCGCACGGCTGCGGAGCCGTTTTTGGTGGCTCAAAAGCCGATTCAAGGTTGGAGGGCCTGAGGGCCGAGCCTGGGTTCCTGAGCGTAAAAACCAGCAACCATCTCTGTTACTCATGCACGCAAGTGTCACTTCGTTTTCGTCGCTAGTCTGCCTCTATTGCAAGTGCAATGAATGCCTTTGTCACCTGGCGTGTTGCTTGTCTAGCTCATAACCTCATAACTTCGAAACGCTGACTGCCTACCACCCTAGCGGCTAAGCGCCACAAAGTCTGTGGCAACAAAAAGCTTGGCAACTTCTGAGTTCCTCCCCTGACCCTACAACTATCAGCATGCCAAAGAAGGGCAGACCCTCGACCCGAAGCCCTATTGGCGCCTGCGCAACCATTGCTTCATTGAGCCCTTCAGGTTTTTTGTTGGGGGGGGGAGGTGGGCTTCGGCTTGTTGCTAGCACGGGTCCTCTTTTGCGACTTCCTGTTGGTACATGTTGGTACCATGTTCCCATTCTTGGCTTACCCCAAGGACGCCTAAAAACCAGTCCATCCCCAAGGCTCTCGCCGTCAGACCTACAGGAGGAGCTCCTTCCGGCCATGAGAAGCATTGCAGGGCTGGTTTGTGACCGACTCAAACTCCGCACCCAAGGTGCTTTTTGCTGCTGGACTTTAGGGTTGTTGAGGTCTAGCAGCTTGTCTAAAATGGCAATGGTTCAAGGGCATGCTGCAGAATTGCAGAGTCACACCCGTTTGATTGGCGTCTAGCAGTGGTAGTAATCAAGTGATTGGCGTTTGGTGTTGACGCGCTTTCGGTCTTGGTCCAGACCTGCAGGCAATCTTGCGATTAGCTGCCCCATGTTCTCTGCACCCTGCCGGCCGAAGATAACGAGAATTCAACAACATGAGTTAAAAGGCATCATGCTGCGGGATTGACCTTCTTGAAGTGCGTCCCTCCCGCAGCAGGAGAAACCACCAAGTGTCGGTTCTTGGGGAAACCGTACTGCACCAGGCACACTCACGACAGATAATCGGGTTGTTTAAGTCTATACTCTCCCGATGCAGTCAATTTCTATGCGTTCGTTTGCATCCCCTGGTGCGCAGACTCTGGAGGAAAAGCCTGCTCAAGTGGCTGGTGCCTCCCTCAGAGAAGACATCGCAAGGCTTGAAGATGTTTAGGTGGTTGAAAGCTCTTTCAGCTGGCTTCAGGGGATTTTGCAGCTTCGAAGATTATGCCCTTTTTTTAACCCAGGACTGCTGAGGCTCCGGCCTGAGATGCAAAGAAGCTTATGCCCTAAACCCTAAACCCTAAACCCTCAACCCTAAACCCCCAAACCGTAGACCCCAAACAGTGCGAGACCAGACGTCTCAATGTGACAAGGGTTTAGGGTTTAGGGTTTAAGGTTTAGGGTTTAGGCGTTTCGGATTTCCTGAGTTCGGGAGTCAAAAGGCGCGAGAGCGGGCTTCGAGAAAAAGCCGTGGCCCGAAGCGAGAACGGAGCGGTCGCGGGCACCGCGCGGTAGCATCTACCTGCCCCCCTGTGACACTGGACGTTGGAACCCCTTAGAGGTGACACTTGGGATTCTCGTACCCCCCCCCTACCCTTACACCGACAGTCCTGAATAGGAAGTATCGTCTTAAGGACTGCTAGTATAAGGGGGAACATCCCAACATGTTTCTTAGGAGTAGTTGAGAGAGCAGCAGGTGTGCTGGATGCAGCTCTCAGTGGGCTGCAGCCATCCACTATCGGAGCCCCAAAGACCAACAAACCTGAGGACAAGCTCAGGCATCGACATGGTCTCTCAAAAAGGTGGGGGGGGCAAAGACCCCGGGGATGCTCCCCCTTATACTAACAGCCCTTAATGGGGAGTATAATAGGGGGAGTACGATACTCCCTAAGTAGGGTTTAGGGTTTAGGGTTCAGGGTTCAGGGTTTAGGGTTTAGGGTTTAGGGTTCAGGGTTTAGGGTTCAGGGTTCAGGGTTTAGGGTTAGTATAAGGGGGATACACTGCACAGCTTAAAGAACTTGCCAAGCTCCGCCGCCTGAAGTGCCACCTGTGATGGTGCAGAGCAACCATCAGAAACAGGCTGCCCCTGATGCTTTTGAACATCCACCCCTAAACCCTAAACCCTAAACCCTAAACCCTAAACCCTAAACCCTAAACCCTAAACCCTAAACCCCTAAAGAATCTGTACGACCTTCACCTGCAGACTCGGAGATGGCATGACCAAAACTGTCCTGACAGAATCTTTGCTGCTTCGCCTCTCTCAGTGGTAAAGGGACCAGCTCGCCAGGCTTGCCATCAGTGCTGAGAGACTCCTGGCATGTTTTTTGGGGTGGGCTGAGAGTTTGGGGTTTAGGGCTTGGGGCTTGGGGTTTGGGGTCTGGGTTTGGGGTTTAGGTTTAGGGTTAGGGCAGGATAAGGGGTAAAGCGCAGATTGCCAGAGTAGAGCAGTTGTGGCAGGTGATATGCATCTGGTAGCACCAGGACACTCTGCTCCCCTCCGGTACGTGTTCAACTCTGCAAAGTGCTGCAGCTCAGCTGGTGCTCAACATGGCCATCTGCAACACTACTCTACATTCCAGCATGATGGGCTCGGGGTATCGGGCTTAGCTGAGCTTCTTTGCGTAGCATGATGAATTCGGCTGCCCTGCCTTTTGCCACTGTACCAGATTGCAGCTGTCGGCATAAGAACGGGCCCTGCTCTGCAGGAAACAAGACATACTCACGAAACAAGCCCCCAAGTCTCGCAACAAGACGGTGGCTGGCACGTTGATTTACGGAGCCGAGGGGACATGAGCCCACTCGGCATGGCTTCATGTCCCTCAAGCCGCAAACCATGCAGAAATCCCAAGCCCACAAGCTCTGCGCCACCTGTATTGCAGGGTTCACCTCTTCAGAATGCAGGTGGTTCTTGTGAACGCTATAAACGCTATCTCCCCGTGTCAGCCCTGAAATTACTTCTAGACGTCCTCCAAGTCCACAGCAACAACAAATCTTGATCCCGGAGGGCTGTTCCAGTTGAGTGTACGGTAACAACATTATTAGGGTTTAGGGTTTAGGGTTTAGGGTTTAGGGTTTAGGGTTTAGGGTTTAGGGTTTAGGGTTTAGGGTTTAGGGTTTAGGGTTTAGGGTTTAGGGTTTAGGGTTCTACTGAGAAACTAGACTAGACTGCATACGGTACGATGCCATGCGCTGCTCTCACCACGCTCCTGACGACGCTGGCGCTGGATTCGGCGTCCTCCCCTGGTGCCTGCCATGCGACCCCTGCTAGAGTACTACAGCACAGCTATCATGTCTAAAAAGCAGCAGTACCAGTTCTATGACTTGCAGCACTCGTGTTTTCGATTCAGAGGTCTTTGAAGAGCAACGAGCTGTATTTTACCCCAGGTTATGTGGGCCGAACCCAGAAGTTGCTTCTGGGGCCAGAACACTGAAGAAAAGAGATCCCCACAACAAAGCCTTCAATCCCTGCCTCGGTGGTCGTGGTGGCCGTCGTGGACGTTGTCTGCGAGCGGGCTCCGGTTACCGGTTGGGTGGGCTCCAACACAGCTCGTTATGCGACTTCCCACGTTCTACATGTCTCGAATCAGTTCGAAGGGCCTGGGATGGGGAGCTCCTGACGAAGCTCCCTTATCTGTGAGTACTCCACGTGGTCGAGTTCCTATGACCTGTAGGACCATATAGGAATCCCAAAATGCTGAAACCTCCAAATCCTTCGACCAAATCACCTATAGACAAGACATGTGCCCGACGTACAGAAATGGTAATTACGCTGCTGCCCGGAGCGACTAGATTTGTGGAAGCCGAAGGGTTCTTTTCAGCCAAGCCACACGAGAGCCCGTGCCTCAGGTCTCCGAGGCTTCTCGGCTTTGATGTGCATCGAGTGGCAACGTGTTCTCATACCTACGATCCTATGTATGATTATATTTTTTTATTGAGGGGGATGTGCTCAGAAAGAGCCATGGCGAGCAAACTCCACTGCTCAGAGGCTGACATGTAGGGGATTGCATAGGGCACCACAAGCGAAAACTCGACCCCTGTATTAGGGGTTTTTTGGGCTTCAGAGGTTTCTGCATGAGCCGTCACCAGGCCCAGGTCTACTTGGAGGGCTGAAGTATGGTATAATACAATATAATATAACATAATATAACATAATATAACATAATATAACATTATATAACATAATATAACATAATAAAACATAATATAACATAATATAATATATACACTATAGTATAGTATAATGAAGTGACTCTAAAACCCGGAGAGCCATTGCAATCCGGAGCTGCCGTGGACCACGCCCTCGGAGTCGATGTAGCCCTGTGTGGAGAAGTCCTGGTTCTTGCGCAGAAAACTAAACTCGATTCGTTTATAGGGGTGTTGAACCATTTGCGGTTTTTTTTTGGGGAGGGGGGGGGCGTTTGTTGGGGCGTTTCGGGTCCTGCTTCGGAGGCTCTGTAAGCGTCCCCACCTCCTGGCTGTACCTGACCAGGCCCTCAGCATACTCGATGTAGGAATTCTTCAGGCTCGAAGCCGCCGTGAAGGTAGTGTAACCATCCTGGCCGCCAGCGATGTAGCTGTTGGTGACCACCACGTAGGTTGCACCGCTGCTGATGGGCATCCAGCTGCCGGTGAGGCGCGGCCGCACTTCCAGGTTACTGATGCGGCTGCCCTTCGTCTCGTTGGCAGCTACGTCGAAGCGGAGGCCGGCAGCATAGGGGTAAGCACCCGACGAGTCTGAGAGGCCAAAATCCAGGGCGTCCTCCAGGACTGCCTGTAGCTGCGCACCTGTCATGTCCAGGGTCACCAGCATGTTGGAGAAGGGCAGCATGGTGTAGGCGTCGTCGTGGCTGAAGTTGCCCGCGGCGATGTCCGTGCGGCACCCCCCGCCGTTCTGGATGGCCACATGAGCAGCCTTGGTGACGGCGAGGAAGGCCTGGGACACCAGCTGGCAGGCCGCGCCGCCCTGTGGCAAAGTCGCGGCGCTGGAGCACAAAGTGCTTCGACCCTGGCCAGGGAAGCGGTCGTAGCAGATCTTCTCTGGCACATAAGCGATGGTCTCCTGCTTCAAGGCCATCACCTGGGCCTGATACATGGACAGCTCTGAGACTGCCAAACCATCTTCCGAGACCGCCATGAACTGGCCCAGGGCGTCCAGGTAGCTCACCACGCTGGCGGTGTCGGTGGCATTGATGGTGTAGGCCGCACTCGAGCGCCTCCTCCCCGACTGGATCGCGGCGGCGTCGTAGGGGAAGCCTATAGTTCATGCTTGGGATAATCTTAAAAAATGTATTTGTTTCATATTCCTTCTTGGGTTTAAGTACCCTTAAAAGTATTCCTTCTTGGGTTTTAGGTACCCTTAGAAGTGTAAAATGTTACCCAACTGTGACAAAGAGAAGCGGGGCATGCCGCCGCAGCGGGTGACGTCGCCGCTGGCGTCGAAGTCCACCTCCAGCTCCCCGATGGCCTTGTTGTACTCCCAGGCCTGCACCACGCACACGGCCTTCCCGCCCGCATTGCTCATCACCTGAAATTCAGGGAGAAATTTTCAGAGAAATTCGGAGAACTCATGAAGATGTGTGCAATGATGTTGCGATGTGTTGCGAGAATACGCGATTCGCTCCAGCGCTTCTTCTGATGTCCCTCGCAGACAGAAGACACAAAACACAATTTCAACGAGAAGCCGTGGCATACTCGCCCTGGACGGTGCTGAAGCCCACGACGTCGCGGGTCACGTTATTGCCCAACAGGCTGTGCGAGTCGCCGCCAATCACCACATCCACTCCACGCAGGGAGGCCATCAGGGACAGGTCATTGTTGTAACCCATGTGCGTGACTAACACGATCTTGTTCACCTCAAGTGGTGGCAATTTTGCTAGCATCTTTGCAGACAGAGCTAATGCAAGCGACAGCAAAAGCTAGCCCACTGTAACAAACTCAGTGTATGAGATGGTCTTGCCAAGGCACGCCCTGGCCGAGCAGCACGTCGATCTCCGCCTGTGCCGCCGCACGCTCATCAGTGAGGGTTGTCCCGGGGCTGGGCGAAGAAGACAGCAAGGTCTTGTTGCGGATGTCGACGCCCACCACGCCCACCTGCTCACCCCCGAGGGAGAACACCACGGACTTGTTGAGCTTCCCCTGCAGCGGAGACGCGGCCGCAGGGACGATGTTCGCGGCCACCACCGGCGTGGCACAGGAGGCGTTGACGGTCTGGAGCTCCTCGATGAAGTTTGCCAGGGCCTGGTCGCCATCATCGAACTCGTGGTTTCCTGGTGTGAAGGCATCGAAGCACACCAGGGACATCATCTTGGCATCAGCCATGCCCTTAAACAGGGAGTAGTAGGAGGTGCCTGTGACGGCGTCGCCGGCATGGAGCTTCAGCACAGAACGTCCAGCCTGCTCAGCCTGCTGCTTCAGGTGCGCGTAGCCCGACACCACCCTCGGATAGCCTCAGCTTCGAGTCTTTTTCCCCGGGCCCGCCCAAAGGGCATGTGCAGGGTTTAGGGCGTTTTAGGGTTTAGGGTTTGCCCCTATTGCGGGCCAAAAAGGCCGCCCAGGGCAACGTTGATGTTGTTTGCAGCCGCCTGTGTGGAGAGGCCGGCAACGTTGCTGGACGCAAACTCCACGGTGTTCGCCTTCAGGCACATGTGCTGCAAGCAACAAGAAATGTTGGGAAGCCTCATCCTGGAGCATATTTAAACACAATGGTTAGAGCAAGTGCTCATGACACAACTACCAGTTGCTTAAGAACCCCAAGCCCACCCCAAAATGAAATGTAAGAAACAGTCAGAACCCTTTTCAAGGAAGAATATGTTCTTCGTTTTTTGGGGTGGTTCTTATTCTTTAAGCAAACAATCAGAACCCTTACAAGGGAGAAGATGTTGTTAGTTTTTGGGGTGGTTCTTTATTCTTGAAGCAAATAGTAGAAACAAGCTTTGGAGTCGAAACTTTCGCAGGCCCGGAGTGCTTGTAGCGGTTTCAGTTTCAGGGGGGGCTTAGGGTTCTCAAGTGTTGTAAACCCCAAACCCTAAACCCTAAACCCTAAGCCCGAAACCCTAAACCCTAAAGCAGAGACCCTAAACCCTAAACCCTAAACCCTAAACCCTTGTGAGAAGCTGGTAGCCCTTAAGGCCAGCGCGTCGCGTTGGTAGGGGCAGCCTGATGAGTGGCTGTACTCGCCAGTGCGGGTGGGCATACAATACATTGACCAGGTATAAGGTCAAACACAGGTTATGAGCGCCCAAGTATCGGGCTGCTGCGCAAAACACCGCTTGGTAGTGGGCTTGGTGGTTGTGGCCTAAAGCTGTGGGGGGCTACTTCATGTCGGCTGCTGAGAGTCTGGCGGGCACAGCGGGTGGCTTTGCCAAGGCGGTCGGGGTCATGGGTGGCATCACAGCATGGCATTGCCAATGGTTGGGGGCAATGAGCGCCTAATGGAGAGGCCAGGTGGCGCAAACCTCTCAGCCATTGCTGGTGGTTGCTGGGTTTGGGGGAGTTACAGCAGGGAGCACTCCTTCGCATAAGCTGTGGAGCGGGGGGAGTGTGAGAAGCTGGTAGCCCTTAAGGCCAGCGCGTCGCGTTGGTAGGGGCAGCCTGATGAGTGGCTGTACTCGCCAGTGCGGGTGGGCATACAATACATTGACCAGGTATAAGGTCAAACACAACCCTAAACCCTAAACCCTAAACCCTAAACCCTAAACCCTAAACCCTAAACCCTAAACCCTAAACCCTAAACCCTAAACCCCGCAGTTCCAGCACCTCCAGGTGGGAGTGATGGTCATTGGTGTGCAGCAGGGTCCTGTGAGACAAGGATTGGTTGAGTCCCAGGAACTCCAATACCCCCGTACTTAAGGGTTTTTCCTTAAAATCTGATAGGGTTCCTTCTATGGTTTTGGGAATATTCCTTGATTAAGGGGTAGTGGAGTCTCTGGGGTTGAGGATTGTGGGATGATTGTTTCCATCCAGGTCCCGTCTCGGACCATTATCTCTGTTTAACGCGTATGCAGCCCCCCCCAGCTCTTGCAAACGCTGCGCTCTGAAGGCAACCAAGGCTGCGTTTGCTGTACTCCAGCACCATCATCAGGAATCCGCGCCCTTTACCCTGTTTTTTAATCCAGGCCTCTAACAGCCCAATGCCCTAAACCCTAAACCCTAAACCCTAGAATCCATGAGTATCTCATGCGAAGAAAACCAGTCACTAGTAGAATCAATGGCGCTACCATTTGGGGGTTCTACTTTTGGGATCCTTTGAGGGGTCTGGGTACTGCCTAACCGCAGCGTTGCAAGGGGGCCAACGCGCCGCATCCTAACCCGTGAGCCGCCGGGAACTCGAAAGCGCCAAACTCGATCTAAACACCCAGCGAGGGTTTAGGGTTTAGGGTTCAGGGTTTAGGGTTTAGGGTTTAGGGTTTAGGGTTTAGGGTTTAGGGTTTAGGGTTTGGGGTTTGGGGTTTGGGGTTTGGGGTTTGGGGTTTGGGGTTTGGGGTTTTTGGGGTTGGGGTTTGGGGTTTGGGGTTTGGGGTTTAGGGTTTAGGGTTTAGGGTTTAGGGTTTAGGGTTTAGGGTTTAGGGTTTAGGGTTTAGGGTTTAGGGTTTAGGGTTTAGGGTTTAGGGTTTAGGGTTTAGGGCTACACAGCATCCACGGACACGGCCGAGGATCAGCAGCAGGGGTGCGGAGAGCGCGCGAGACAGCGCCGCCAAGCTCAAGAACTTCCTTTGGCTGGGCGGTGGGGTTAAGGGCATGGTATAGGGGCCTGAATAATAAAAATAGGGTTTTGGGGGCTATTATAGTATTATAGTATGGTAATAAAGGGGCCTTATAAGGGAATAAAATTGCGTTTTGCACTCCATGGCTTCATGCTAAGTTACGACTGCCCCGAAGGACGCCTTGCAGTATCGTTGCAACGCTGTTCCTCACGCTGTTCCTCACAAGCCCTCCTCCAAGCTTTGGGGCGGGAAGACACCTTGCACGGACTATGCAAAACCACCTCTCAAACCTTGACACCGTGATGGGAGACTGCCAGGACAGCGCTCTCTGCTGCTAACATCCAAGATGTACCAGGTGCACCCTGCGGGAACTGAATGTTGGATACCCTTGGAGCGCCAGGTGCAGCCAAGGGGCGTTGCAAGCATTGGGGACAAGCTTGAGGTGAAGCGTCTATACAGAGATTCTATACAAAGAGTCTGCCAGTTCTGTGCTGAGCAGCGGCGGCGGAGCATCACAAAGGAGAAGCTGCACCATGCGGGGGCTTGCGGTCGGGGAAAGCTTTCGCAGACTTTGGGAAATTCGGACTCACTCGGACTGAAACCTCCAAAGCCCTTCGAAGCTCATAGAATCCCAAGCCCTATAAGCCCTGAACCCTTAACCACCCTACCACCATCCTAAAACCCACGTACCTACTGGGCGCCTTCGGAGCCCGGTGTGAATTCATCAACCGATTCAAGGAAGATGTGTTGACCATGCAGCGGCTCTGAAAAGCGCACGTGGCCACGTGTCGAAAATGCAGCCGCGCGCGTGCTGTCGCCAAAAAAGGTGCTCAAAAAAGCATCGCCTTTGGAAATTGTACTTCGTGCATGTCGAAAAAAACCGCTGTGCGCAGTGTTTTCGCGCGTGTGAGCACGAAAGCCTGGTGGCCGTGGTGATGTTGGCCACACGGAAAAAACCCTTCGGCGGGTCCGAGCGCAAAACCTCGAGTTGTTCGCACTTTCGCCCGTCAAGCCACGAAAAGCCACGCGAAAAACGCGCAGGGCCGCAATCGATGACGCTACCGGGTTTAGGCTTCTTAGTGTTTAGTAGTTGAGTGGATTTAGAGTGGCACGCTTCACGAGTACCGGGTGGTTGAATGGGTCTGATGCTTCGGCCTGAAGCCCCCCGTACACGAAGCAAAGCAAAGCCAAAAAGAGTGTTGTTGCCGCCGGTGTGGTGCTTGATTTACTGGTGACCACAAAGCCCTAAATTCCCTGCAGAAGCTTCCGTCGCGTAGTGAATATTGTAAGCCACTAGTTGGGGGACTTCACACGAAACTCGCACATCGACCATCCCCAACCCCTGTGCCGAACCCCGAAGAAAGCCCCCCTTTTTCTCTTCAGAGGCTCACTGTTGGAGCGGGGCAGCTTTGGACGGCTGAGGGTCCTTTGACTTGGGTCTTCAGGCCCTGTTCTGTTGTAGGACTTTTCGGGGGGGGGGGGGGGGCCTTAAGGAAGAAGAAACCCGTGCTTCAAAGGGCCCTGCGCTTGGAACATCTACCCCGGGACCAGCCCCGAAAGGGTGCGCCGGCGGGGAAGCCCGGACGTTCCGGAAACAAAAGAGCGCGCTAGTTGGTCAGACTTTAGATGCAGGCCAGGATGGGCGATAAGAGGCCCCCTATCATCCCCATGATCAACCCTCTAAAGGGGCAGGTTTTGAGGGGGTTTATAGGGTATCATCCCCCTAATCAACCCTATGAAGATGGCAGTTGTTATAAGGTGTTTTATAGGGCATCATAGCCCATCCTGGGGGTCCGGCGTTTATCCCGGATGACTTTTAGAGCTCGTCGCTAGGCTCCAAGATGCAGTTGACGTAGGTGGAGACGCTGGCCGGCCAATCGGCGAAGAGGCTCACAATGCCAACCTTCTGAAACAAGGCGTCCAGCACCTCCAAAACATCCGCATACCTTTGGGGAAGCCAAATATTTATCTCCTGTTTAGTACCTGAACTGCATACAAGCCCTGTTTTGTGCAGAATATATCACCAGTGTATGCTCAGGTCAGGTACTGGAAGGTCGCTTTGCCCTCCACGGAGTCGTAGTAGCTCCAGCCCTCCGCCCGCCCGCACGGGGCCACCACGTTGGGCTCTGGGCCCCAGGCGAAGGAGGTGTTCTCCGCGTTGCAGCCCTGTCGGTCCAAGGACCAGCTTCCGATGTTCACGCCCATCTTCCTCGGCTACAGTTTTGCTTCTCAGAACCCAAGAACTTAAAAGATACTAATCCCTATACTACCCTTATAACAACCCCAAAGAAGATTGAAAGATAATGATCCTTATATTCTCCTTATAAGGAAAACTTTCGTTGTGTTTTGGGGGGCGGTTCTTAAGCAAGCAGTCGAAGGTCGGGGCCCCTTGAAACCGCTAGGACACTCCTGAAGAAATTAAGGTTCTCGTAAAGCCAACAAAAAAGCAGGGCTCTCTTATACCCGATAGGAGGATGGAAATAATTGACATCCAGTTCGTCCTGCAGTAGATCCTCTTGAGCCCAACAAGGGGGAACCTAGAGACTCCAATACCCCTTAACTAAGGAGTATTCCTTCAACCCAGTTCAACCCTATAAGGAACCCTCTTATGTTTTTAAGGAATTGAGAAAAAAAGTATAGGAGTCCCCCAGAAGGACTGGAAATAAACCGATATCCTGGCTTCCGCAGCTGCTGCGCCGTGGCTGAGGGCTCCACTCGGTGCCCACGTCCACTTGCCACAAGGAGGTTGATGGGAGGAGAGAAAAGCTCGACACCCAAGCCCTGAAGCTTCTTCAGCACCTGTGAGGAGGGTTTTTTCGGGGTTTAGGGCTGTGTTGTTTTTGGAATGTACTACCCTTGTGCAAGCGTGTCCCTATAAACCCTATAAACCTTAAACCTTAAACTTCAGTGTGTAAAGCCCGCCCCCTGCCTGCGCCCCTCCACAGTCCCCCAAGTAGCTCTGGCCGTTCTTCTGCACGCATTGCTCTCCTGCTGGGGGAGAGCTCTCCCACCTCAGCGGAAGACTGCCTTACTCCAGTCCTCCTGTAAAGAGGATTGGAATCTGAAGTTCAAGTCGCTCAACCCTTCACCCCCCTTTACCATTCATGAAGGAAGAACTTCGTTCAGAGCTCGGAATTGTGGTTCCAAGATATCCACCTGGACCCAAGAGTAACCTAGCCAGAAAAAAACAGGTACTTTAAAGGGGCCTTTTCAGGGAACCTGAACCCCACCCCCCCCCCCCCCCCCCCCCCCCCAGAAAAAAAAGGAAGGGGGAGTAAGCCGCATGTACTCCTTGAGGGTGCCTTTAACCTCAATCCGCCCCCAGAAAAGGGACTACCTCTCTGTACTCCATAAGGGAACCCAAAAGAACCCCCCCCCCCCCCCCCAACCACAAAAAACAGGTGGTTCCCAGCCACATGAACTCCACCGTCATGGCCGGAAACTCCTTCTTCCAGTGCTCGGCGATCCGGTGGTCGAAGGTTTGCATCACCCCGTAGGAGGTCCCGGCCGCAGCCTTCTGCGGCTTCCCTTGCCTCTTTTAAAGGGAACTGCAGAAATGTGTTGGGTTTAGGGTTTGGGTTTGGGGCTTGGGGCTTGGGGCTTGGGGTTTGGGGTTTAGGGTTTAGGGTTTAGGGTTCAGGGTTCAGGGTTCAGGGATCAGGGTTTAGGGTTTAGGGTTGAGGGTTGAGGGTTTAGGGTTGAGGGTTGAGGTTTTGCAGGGTATGCAGGGTTTAGTGTCGAGGGTTGAGAGAAGTGGGGGCCTACAAAAAGCCTCGACCTAAAAGACTGTAAACGCTATTTGAGGGCTATAAACCCTATTCAACAAGGCAATGAAGACCATTGAGTATATGAACACCCTGAACACTCTACAAGACCGCCCATTTGAGGCGCTCCGAACACGAGAACTAGGCCTGGGAAACCCCGAAGCCCCCAAGTGCCCTCAAAACCCCCTTCATTGAAACCCCCTGCACGCCCTCAACATTACAAAAACCACCCTTAACACCCTTAAAGCCCTTGAAGCCCCCCTTTCAAGCCTGCACCTGAAGGTTATAGAAGCTGCTGAGGCACGGCCACGGTGTGAAGCCGGCGTCCTTGAGGTGCGTGGCGAAGCCTCGCTCGAATGCGTTTGGTTTTTGGGGCGTCTAGGGTCTGGGGGTTTTGGGGGGTGGTCATATGTTTGGGTTTAGGGTTTGGGGTTTCGGGTTGTTTGGTGCGCTTGACAGGAGGGCCCTAAACCCTGCAAAAACCCAAAGCCTGACCTAAAGCCCGCGTAACGAAACTCTGAAACCCTCGAAACCCTTTCCAAGGCCAAGTCATGCCCCTAAACCCTAAACCCTAAACCCGAAACCCTAAACCGTAAAACCCTAAAACCCTAAAACCCCCCCAAAGAATAGAGTGAGCCGAGGCAGCTGGAGGCCAGCCAGTAGATGTCCTTGCCCTTACCTTCCAAGAACTCCACAAGACCCGGCTCCATGGTGTCTTTGAGCTCCGGGATCGCATGGTAGGTCTCGGTTTAGGGTTTAGGGTTTAGGGTTTAGGGTTTAGGGTTTAGGGTTTAGGGTTTAGGGTTTAGGGTTTAGGGTTTAGGGTTTAGGGTTTAGGGTTTAGGGTTTAGGGTTTAGGGTTTGGGGTTTGGGGTTTGGGGTTTTGGGGTTTAGGGGGTTTGGGGGTTTGGGGTTTAGGGTTTTGCATGGGATTGCATGGCAGGTCTCTGTTGGATCAGAGCTGCGGCTTGGGGTCTAGGGTTTAGGGTTCAGGGTTTAAGGTTTTGGGGTTTTAGGGTTTAGGGTTTAGGGTTTAGGGTTTAGGGTTTTGGGGTTTTAGGGTTTAGGGTTTAGGGTTTAGGGTTCAGGGTCTAGGGTTTAGGGTTCAGGGTTTAAGGTTTTGGGGTTTTAGGGTTTAGGGTCTAGGGTTTAGGGTTTAGGGTATAGGGGAAGTGCATGATTTTGGATATTTAGGGGTCGAGGGTGTAGTCAGCCGCTCCGTTCCCTCAAGCTTCCCAAGCCCAAACCCCACAAGAGTCAAATGCCCACAGCAAGTTCCTCCCCCTTCTTTGAGAGGGAAGCCACATTTCTCTTCAGGAGCTTCCTTGGCTGCTCTTGACGACTCAAGACTCCAAAAACCTTCGGAGAAGCAGTTGGGTT